CACTGGATTTGACGACCCCTTCAGCAGCTCATGCTGTCCTTTCTGCTAGCTCTATAATGCACTAGAGTGTTGGATGTTTAACCCCAGTTTGGTGACTGCTCTGCAGGGTATGAATACATGTCCCATACTTTGTGTTGTACCAACTGAATCGACTGAAAGGGAATGAATTGTGACTATAACTTCTGTTCCCTGAAGGAGAGGAATGAAGCACAACACCTGATTGCCCCATCTCTGTAGCTGGGCTCAGTAAAGGGTGGCTGTTGAACTGAAAGATGACCGTGTTAATGGATGTACATACAGTATGTGCAGACAGAGCCTCACATTCACCCTCACAGGTCATCTGCCTTCAGACGTGAATACAGGTCTCTTCAGTTAGGCCGCACAAGGACATGATGATATCCCATACTTTATGCATTGTACCTCACTCCTCTCCTTCAGGGAACAGGTGTTTGGTCATTTGGTTGGTTTGTACACAGTTTAACTAAAAGTTTGAAATAGGGAAATAGAGGTTTGTTGCATGTGGATCTATTGAAAACACCCAACAGGAACCACACTTCTTGCAACTACAGAGTGATAATGCATATCGATAGCTGTAAACAGTAATGTGCCATTAAAGGTAGCATTGAGTCAATAAAAGAGGCGAAAAAGGAGAAACAAACTGACAAAAAATATTGATGATGTTTCAAAACATTTAAAAAAGGTTTTGAAAAATAGTTTTGGTGATCAGAAACATATTCTTAGGCCTTGAGGAGAAAATTCTTTCTCGTAAAGCTGTGTTGTTTACAACTGGACAGCTTTAGAGACAATTGTAACTTTTACATTCAAGTTCAGGTTGCATAATAAGGAGCTGAATATTCCCTTGCACAATCCCAGTGCTGTGCCCTTTCTTTACAACATTTATTTGTCCTTGACTTCAGGGGAAAACTAGGTGATTCTGCTCCTGGGATTGATGTAGTAGGAGTTGGTTCTTTCTGACATCTTTCTGACATGCTTCAGAAGGCTTTTTAAACGCAACAGACTGGTGGCTGAAATATTTAACAGTCAGCAAGTCACAGAGAGGCCTGCTGGGCAATTGCCAACGCAACATCGACCTATTCAATCTATATTTCATGGTCATGAATGAATGAATGGCTGGCTTTTCTTTATATAGCATCTTCCTGTCGGGAGGGGGACTTGTTAATGACCAAATCTAAATGTAAAGTAAGAAGTAACGAGTAAGTAAGAAACTGCAACAATAGGTCACTGAAGCACTCAGATTTTTTGGAGGTTTAATTAAACCCTTTTAACCTTTTAACATTTACTGAATCACTTTGAATTTAACCACATAAACCTGGACTTGAACAAAGACTGCAAGGCCAGCTTCTATGCTGCAACACAATCCTATCAATGTTGTAACATCTGCAGGATACACAATAAAATGCATATGAAAGCATACCATCTTACTGTAACAGATATTAAGAAGAGGAACACTGATTATACTCTTTGTACAGGATGTCCACATCAGCATGTTCTAGTGGCTGATAATATAATCCACACACCACAAAACATCTGCAAATAAGCATCATATTTCTTCAAAGTGGACAGCACTGAGTAGTTGTCACCTAGACTGGAGATAAAGACTCAGCTCCTCATGCTCAACCATGCAGACCATGGGCTGGTTCCTCAGTACTATATGTATCGAAATTTCAACCTGAGACCTGAGAGAGTTGTGATCCAGATCCAGAACCGTGATGGTCTTAGAACAACATTCAAACAAGGTCTAGAATCCACCTGGGGCATGGCGTTCTGACCCCATGAAGATATTTCATCACTGCTTTTGTAAAAGGTTGCATGTAAAGCAGGCTCTAAGGATTAATATCCAATAAGGACTATTGCTAGGTGGCAGTGAGAACTACAGGAAGCATAGCTTTTTCTCTTGGATGTGAGGGGGTCCACTAACGGCCAGCCAAAATGCTGGTTGATCTGTGCCACACACATGGCAGACCCTCAGAGACTCAAGGTGATGACTGTCCCTGAGGACAAAGATGCATTTTTCTCCCACACCAATCAGCCCATCAGAGAAGTGTCAAAAACAGTGCAGGAAAAAACAGTTTCTCCCCCTATACCAGAACTAAGGGGAGCAGTTTCAAAGGGCTACATCTGCACGAACCCCCTTAGCTTTAAGTGTACTAAGAGCAACATCTTCAAGTGTTATTAGACATATTATCATGAGTGTAAGGGACAGTTCCTGGTGCTGTTGACTCAATGTGCTCATTAAGCTCAGTGCTGATAATTGCGCTTGGCACAACTGCTAATGAAGGCCACCAAGACTGCCTGGTCCCCAACAACAAAATGAGTCAGTTAAAAAAAAGCTACTGTATATTTCTCTACCAGTGTAAAACTGGGATTCATATTTCATCTTTTGCTGCAGGCTAATACATACACATACTACACTGTCTCCATAATCTGTGATAGATACTACCCTAAGTATAGAGACTAGATTTTTCTCATATAAAGAAAGTAATATTGGAACTTAGTTAATGAGAAGTTTAAATGAAAGAATGGAAATTAAATATACAGTACATTGGTGTATATCTTTCATGTGAAACTAAATGATACCTCTGAAAGTACACAGTCTTATCAGTTACCATCAGCAAGCTGATTGCCGTCGGACACATCTTTGACACAGGAAACCAGTGCACTTATACAACACCATTGGGCCATGCTTGATCACAGCATCTGGAGTTGAGTGTTTCTCATCCAGTCCCCTATCCAATCCGTTTCAAGTTGATCTGGGAATATGAAATGGCATTCTGAAAATTACAGTGCTACTGAAAAGCATCCGGTCCCTATCGGCCCTTATTTCACAACTCTCAGGGACATTTTAAGAAATCCACAGTGTGACAGTTTTGCTTTCCTGGTCCCGTAAAGTTAATGAGGTGGTAGAATACAGAGATTGCTTCCGTGCTAAGTATTATAACACAATACCAAACTACAGGCGTATGTTATGGGCCATAAACTGAGGATGAATCAGCTGGGCTCATGCGTCCATAGTCGGTGTTGTCCTTTATATTATCTAATTCTATATCATGGCTTACTGTGTTTTTCCCTTTATATCTATATCAGGGTAATGCCCAATGACTCACTGTCAGGGGCTCTTGTCAAGGCATATTCCATGTTAAACACAAGTCCAGTTAGCTTTCTCATCAGGGTGAGGCTAAGTGTAAGAGTATGTGAGTCTATGTGGTTTGTAATCTTAGTGTAATTAGTGTTTCTACAATCAAAAAGTCACATGCTCTATCTTTAATCAGTCCAAGACACAACTAATGACATAGCATTATTGTTATTACTGCACCTATATTTTAAAAAATATTGCAAATTGGTTACCACCTCATTAACATAGTATCACCATATCATTATTTAACTGCCACTCCAAAAAATACCATCATGCCAACATATTAAACTCACCAAAATATTAGAAATATTCCAGTATCATTGCCCACTGCACCGAGACATTACAACTCTACTACAATGTTACCAGCAAACATTACTACCACATCAACATGTTATCACCATGTCTAAGCACACTGCCACTTAACAAGAATGATTGAATAATATGAAATTAAATCATTTAAACTTAAGAAATTATGTTTGCCATTTAAAAATAAAAAATTGTTTGTTTAGACACATGGCCATAATAAATAAAGAACACCTAGTTACATCTCTTATGCATGAAATTAAGTTTCATCCTCAAAAGCTTCAAAACGTGTCTGAGTCTAAAAATTAAAGTAAGAGAAAAAGCACAACAAGCTATTAATTGTAAAAAATGAATCAAAGAATGGAAATGCAATGTGAAATATTAAAATAAATTTTTCCATATTTTTTTTGTATTAAAAATAGCAAAATTAATTACTACATCATACTTTATTTTATTATCATATTGTGAAGATCTTGAAAACATAGGACCTTTTACAGTAGGTCCCTGCAGGTGACAGTTATCTGCCACAGTAAAGGTCTGGGGCAGAGTACCGGAAACCTCATTCCTATTCATGCTTGGTGTCTATGGATGCATGCTCACGGCTATTTGACCTTATTAATGATGACTGACAGTGTCTTGCTGTTTCTCCATGGAGCAAACAGATCACTAGAGTTTTCTTGTATCAGACCTTTAGAACTTCAGTAGCTATCAGCAATTATTCACTATTCCAGTGAAGCTGCTGGCATCAACTAGAACTGATACATGGGTGACAATAACACAAGTATTGGTGACATACAGTACATTTAATTGGTTGAGATATGGCTTCAAGGCATGGCTGACAACACTGACTCATCTTGGGAAAAAAAAAATCAATAGACAGAAGCATGATAGTATTAAAATTACATTTTTGATCTGAATTAATTCAGCTGTCACAGATTAATGCCAACTAAAACATTCAACTGCTCAGTGACATAAGTCGATATAAACAACACGGAAGTGAATGGCTTGTAACAAAGAAATTACTTTGCAGTTTAACATGTTTAGAAATCACATAAAAACTAAACAGGGCTTTATATGATCAAAGGAACAACAAAAATAAAACTAAAAGAAACAATGTGAAAGATTCAATTTGGGGGTCATTTAATTAAGAACTAAAAAAAAAAAAACATTGTATTCTAAACACCAAATCAACAAAAACTGTTGAAGGAGCAGCTATGCCTGCCACCTCTCCCCAACGATCAATAGCATTACTGGCTCTTGCTTTGCCACAAATGGCTCTGTGATGACACCCTGATCCAATTCCCAAAACATAAATCATTCATCAGCAGCAGGTACACAGAGCAGAAGCAGTCAGAGAAGGAGGCAGAGTCCTGACCTTTTCCTGCCAGGCAGAGATACACCAGATACTGTAGTCAGAAACATCCGCTTGTTTCAGTGCCATCTCCAACATACTATTCAAAGTCACATGTAATGCTGGACTATATCATCATTATCCTTCTAACTCTTTTTCTCAATCTGTCTCTGCCTCTATATCTTTCCCCAGAACATGACTTGAAGATGAGCTGCCCACAGCCTGAGTTAGAGGAGAAGGACTGTCCTCCACCAGAGGAATTAGAGTGTAAAATCTGTTACCAGCGCTACAATGCCCACAACCGCAAGCCTAAGATCCTGGATTGCCTGCACCGGGTCTGTGCCCGCTGCCTCATCAAGATCCTGGATATTGCTGATGGTGCAGGCTGCATCTCCTGCCCCTTTTGCCGACACCAAACTGAGATCACAGAGTTTGAGGTGTCATCCCTGCCTGACGATGCTAACATCATGTCCCACTTGGCAATGCGGGACAAATCCTGGAGCTCTGACCACAACAGGGAGGTGGTTCTGACTCCAAAGAGTTTCTCCTCCTCTAGCCCATCTCATGAATCCTCTAACTGCCTGGTTATCACCATAATGGAAGTGCAGAGGAACTCACAGCACTCCCCAAGCCGCTCTGACATTTACACTGAGCAGAGCCTGGACTCAGTATCAATGGGCTCCAATGGGCCAACTGATCAGGATGCCCTGTCCAAGTTCTGTAATCATGTCCCACGCATCCTGGTGTGGCTGCTGGGTTTCTTATACTTTGGCTCGCTGCCTCTAGGAATCTACTTGTTAGTGATCCAGAGAGTGACTCTGGGTATTGTATGCGTTAGCTTGGTACCATCAAGTTTGACAGTCTGCCTGGTCTATGGATTTTGCCAGTGTCTGTGTCAGGGAATGTGTGACTGCTCCTCCAGAGGCTGATATGATGTGACTAAACTGATGGTCCTTGGATGGGATAAAATGAGCCGCAAAAAACGAAATTTGGTTTGTTATGTAGATAGATATGAGTTCCAAAAGTGAAAGTGATGTTGTTTCCCCAACAAGAGACTGACTGACTACCAGTTAGTTACTTCCATGCAAATAATGGGCCAGTCAGAACATCTAGGAAGACCATTTTCAGTGATGGTCTACGCTTTTAGGATGAAACTCAGAAACTGGTTCGGCCACAGCCACCGACAAGCTCTGTTAGTAGGAACAGCGCCTATACCTACATTTCTGTAATGTATTTTTGTGACCTTATTTGTTCTGTGTTGTGTGTATGACCTAGTCTAACATTTTAGATTTGAGAGCAGACCTTTAATCTTTGACTTAAACTTTGACGAAGTCCTGGGCCCTCATTTATCAGCGTTGTATACCAACAAAAACTTAGCAATCATTTTTAAGTGGGTGGGATATATTTTCGGATGCCTGTACATTTTGATTCAACTCTAAACCATGAATATACACAGAAACATCACAGACCAAATAGCAAGGGTATTTATATCATAGACCACATGAGCAAACTATTAAGAAAAATTCACAGAATTTGAATCTTCTACATTACAAGTCACTTAACAACTGCATTTATGCATATGATTGGATAATTATCACTTGTCAATCACAACAAAGTGGAGGAAATAAGCCAGTATTTATATTAGCACTACATGCTACTAAATGTTAAAGCTACAGGTAACTCAGAATTGAATAGATTTCAACTGTGATACTGGTCTTGCCATCAGCTCCTGAAAATATCAATAACTGTATATTGTATGACGGAGAAGCATTGGCCCTGACTATGGATTTAAAGATATCAATCTGTTAAACCTGCCGATACAAGTCTGTTTCAACATCTTTATATCCTGGCTGACAAACTCTATGTAAAACAGAATATGGAATATTGCTCTTCAAGGGATATGTGATTGACAGGTCATGAATTAGCTGAAGTTGCAAGAAAAGCACTGTAGCGTATTATTGAGCAATGCAAGAACTATTACAGGATTATTCACCACAAAAATTCCAGATCTTAGCAGGAAGAGAAAGAATATTTGCATGCAATGCACATTTCAAAATACAAAACACAAATTGCCAAATTTGTGAATTGGCCATAATACTTTGTTACCCGTTTTACTGTCACAACAGTAGCTTTGGGCATTCAGTATGTGTGATGAGGTTGTTATTATTACTTATTTAATCTGCCCCCTCCTTCTCTTTCTCTCCATCTGACTCAAATACACACGTGTCATTCAGGTTGTCTTTTTGAGTCTATCTGGTACATGTAACATATAAGCCAGACTCATATCTCAGGTTTTTTGATACTCTTTTGATGTTTAGCAACAAACTTAAGTTTCTTGTTGGGTTGAACAAGGATGCTTGGTTGTAATTTTTAGCCAGCCCTAAACACAAATGTTGCTGACTGACTGAGTGATGGCCGAGCATTTAAGTCACCCTTTAGACATTGCTCTTTCAAAATGGTTTGGTGCAAAGAAGTAGCCAACCTACCGACTTTGTCGCCACATTTACTGACTTTTCACACCCCTTTTTCAAAAATGTACCTAGCAACAAATCTAGCAACTTTTTGGACAAACCTTAGCCATTTTCTGTGGAAGAGAGTCACCAGTAATACCCCATGCGTGTGAGGTCGGGCTTTCCCTCTGTAAGCACAGCTGAATGCACAGCAGCTGACATTAATGACCATCTACCTTTCTCTCTGAGTGATCACTTTACAAGTAAATCAAGTCAAAATCACAGCACAGTCTTTGCCTTCAACTTGTGTGTATGGTGATTTTGTCTGACAACAAATACGCAAAAACATGTAAATGAGAACAACTTTACTGGGAATTCGGCTGTATCAGAGGCCCTGCTCAGACCTGGCATTAACATGCATCTTTGGTGACGTCTCAAGTGACCACTTGTGATCAGATCTTACTTACCCACTCTATATGCAAATAAACATGTATACGTTGTTGTTTTTAGCCAGTCTGACTATGGAAAGACAGGTTGTCAATGTGTTTGTGTGTGAGAGGGAAAGAAAGCAGGACAAGGAGGGGTTGAGTGAAAGCACTGTGCACAGTTCTATGATGAAATACGATTTCAGCCATTTGAAATAGTAAAACATTTTCATTTCATTATAAAACTGTGGCGGGACTAATTAGCATTAGAGAGAATTTGCCACATGTGGCCCAGACCACCTCCGAATTTGGTCTGAGTGATTTGATCTAAAATGCGTCCTAAATGTGTCTTGGGTGCACTCACACTTGAGCTTAGAGCTGTCCACCTGTGATCAGATCACCTGAGAAGGATGTTAGTACCAGGTCTGAACAGGGACAAAATACTGTAGATGTGAGCACAGAGAGGAGGAGAGAGGCAAACAGATAAAGGGCTGAAACCGGCTTTCACAAGCTGACAAATAGCCCACCACATGGTCCAGTCATACACAGTTTTGATCTAGTCTTGTTTTTGTACAGGTTGTAAAAAGCTGATTGGACTCAAAGGTACAGTTTATGGCCATCGGAGTCCTCTCTTAACCTCCATACTGACATGGTACACATATACTGCCACACCTCAGCCATGTGGATTTGTTATTGTGTGGCACTTAAATGTTGGGTCTATGTGGCATCTTGAGATTATTTTGTACGTAAGAGAAAATATGCCTCTATGTGTATCATCATGACAAAAGTCACAATAAACTATGGTGTTGTTTTAACAATTATTACACTTTTTAAATATAATTTCAAAGCTTTCATTGAAGTCTCCTGTAGCTTTAAGCTTCTCCTGTGGGTTCCAAAAAGTAGTTTTCCTTATAGCTCTGTGATCACAATATATATTCTACTGTGTTAGAAGTTTGTCCTCCAAGACATCTTGAATTGCTGCATTCGTAAACAGCAATGATTTACATTTCCAGCAGCATTTAAAAGAAGCTTTAGACTATAAATTGTTTCATGTAAGTGGAACTTGCAGTACAAGAGCATGGTGATTTACTTTTGGCGGTATTTGGAGCAACTATTTACATTTGACAATTACCAACTTTCTTTTACTCCTAAGCACCCACATTTTACTCTTAAGAGTCAAATTAGTAGCTTTTCAGGACGACTTTGATCATTGAGGGCCCTTGACTGATTATTAATTATAAACTTCAGATAATGATATTTTTTCATAAAAATTCAAATGTAGTATTTTGGAAAAAATAATAATAATAATTTTGTGCTAAACTGTTCCTGTATAAGTGCAGTTTATTCTCTGACATTGCAGTTCTTTACTTTCTTTTTTTCCTTTCCTTTGCCAACTTCTCTCGATCACTGTCTCTCTACCCTCTCCTATGTTTTCCTGTGTTTCTGTCTATGATCTACTCAGCTCTCAGCTTAGTGCCACACTTCTGATTAAAGACAATGGAATAAATGGAGAATAATTTTCTATATGTTGCTTGTGTGCATATTTATTTTCATGGATGCTGGCTGCTGATTAAGTCCACCTTTTGAATGTCAGCACAATCAATACTGTCATCACTGTTTAATCTTGCATAGTCTGTGTCATCAAGCTCAAAGAGACTAGATGCTGTTATACTTCAAACTAATGAAATCTAGAGCCTGACCAATATTGGATTTTTGGGGCCGATGCTGATACCGATACTAGGAGGTAAAAGAATTCTGATATCGATATATCGGCCGATATATATAGAAACACTTGTGAAAAAGTTTTGTAATGAAAGCAGGATATTTTACAGTTCAACAATAAACCTTTTTGTCCAAAATGACATCAATGCACTGAAACGGTAAACTTCACTGGGAACTAAATAAAAGAACTATAAAAATAAATAACTAAGATAAACTAACAGAAAAACATAAGAACAAATATGTTTATATATGACATATATATATATATATATATATATATATATATCATATATATTTAATTTGAATGAAAACAAAGGATCAAATATGAATAAAATGCTGCCTATATAACTTGACTTAACCCGAGGATTTACACTGCATTATTAGTTCTTAATAAAAGTATTCATATCAGCGCATATCGGAGAATATATGCACCAATACTGATATATCTGTGATAGGCCAATACTGGACAATAAAATCATAAGGTGAGTACTGACAGCCTATGATTTTTTTAAGCACTGTGATGGTCAAAGACACACTGTAATAAGCCATAAAGTGCTGCTGAGACTGATTTATACAGTGCAACCAGCTGGAAACAAAATAAGAAGAGACAAAGGAAAGAAACATAGTAATGAGAGATGACAGACAATGGCAGCAGGTCAGACAGTAGAAAGAGATTTTATTTTCTGCCTGACTGGCAGAGCTGTTAGACAGAGTGCTTTTCAGTGGAGCGTTTGTCCTGCTGGTTGTACTGTCCGACATCTACAAGACCCTGCCTTTCATCTTTCTCAGCTTGAGTGGCAGGTTGCACAAAAAAAGTCCTACATCTGAAAAAAGAATGACCATATTGGTCCAAATGTAAGACAACTCTGAACATAGTACCAATGAATAATCCACAGACCTCACTGTCATCAGTTTTTATAGGGACTGTTTCTCTCTTTAAAAATGGTACTAATTAGCACAGTTGACAGTAGTTAAGTGTAGTTCATCAAGGATATGTCGTGATAGTATAGACTCCTTAATTCAGCATGCTGCCTGTAAGTCATCTCACGCTGACGTCAAGCAGCATGGGTCATGCAAACGTGTGACCTTGCTATATTTATACAAGCGCTCAATAAAATATTCAACATTTTCAGGTGTTTAAAAAGATGGGGCATGAATTTTAATTACACATGAATAATGTACTCACAATCTGTCCTCCCTTTATAGCACTCACTTAACACACAAGTCCTGTCTTTTTTATTGATAATGCAGCAACATTCATTTCAATCGCTATAGGTTTATAACAATCACATGAAAAGTGGAGTTAGAAAGCAACTGCTGGAATTTACATGAACTGTGAGAGCTAGAGATAACAAATACAATACAATTAATCTACATCCCCCTCTCAGAATGAGTCACCTGCCAACTGCTGTGAGGATAAACACCTCATCAAGTTCAATAGCCCCCATGAGCTGCAACGGAATACAAAAGGGATTGTACTGTACTGAGGCAGGTAAAACGGTAAGGCAGAAAATATATACCATTTGAAATTCAATTTTCAGAGAATATAATCACTGAGCTTTGAAATGGAACATCTGAGAGAAATCTCAGTAATGTATCCACCATCTTGTAGACCTTTATTGTCATCTGAACAGTATATTTGAGGGAGATTAACCAAAGGCAAATCACTACCTGCTGATGCATGACTCATTTATTGTGTTGTGGCAGGTCTATCAGAGTCAGGGGTTTCAAACCTATGTTGTAAACAATCTTTACATCATATACAGCTCGAATACAACCTCTGCTACACTTTGAAGAACCATAATTCTACCTTTAAGTGTTGTCTTACTTAATCTCTTGTTTTTCTGGAGGGGTATGAGCGAGTACACTAGTGAAGTACAAAAGGAGGAAGGGAATAATATCCTTCTACACATCTATAGCTCTCCTCTTTCAATGGTCTGATCACCACCAACAGAAATCACATTTACACACATAAACACACAACTCTTTCTCTCTGGGCTGTTGCTATAGAGACACTAATAAAATTGTCAGAAGAACTGAAATATTTTCCCTGCTGTGGCTTGAGTGACAAGAGCTTCTGACAGCTGGAAGACACAAAGAGCACTGGACCTACAGCAAGGCACTGATACTGCCAGACTAATAATGTGTTCACGTTTGGCATAACAAACAAACAAACAAACAAACAACATTTCATGGAAAGGGGTAGAATCCATGCAGTTTTGGCCCGGAATAGATGAAGAAAAGCTATGGCCATAGTTGTGTCTTACATAACAACTACCCTTTATAAAAAAAAACTCAATGTAAAATAACTTACACCAGAAGTGAGAAATCTTTGAAAGAGTCAAATATTGCTACAACTGCCTATCCAGCAGCACATCATACTGCTAACTGCGTCATGCTACTCATAAAGTGTACATATACACTGCTTGACTTGCTCCCCAGTTTACCTGATTGCCTGCCTGGCGCTGAGCCTTCTGTTTATGATCTGAGCAAGGGAGTGCGTGCCTGCCCACTGCCTCAAATCATTTCTGTCTTGTACAGTATCTGTATATAGGTTTCAGTTCTGTATATACTGTATATGTCGCATATAGTATAGTCCATAAATTAATAATATACAGAAAGTAATAAGCAGCAGAAATAAAGTATATGTAAAAAAATAACAGCCTGTATGGCCATGTGCATTACCACAGGTTAGAGAGAACTCCATAACTAACAGCAGCAGCAGTGTCGCAGGGATGCGCTGAGATCAGTGGATCAAAGTCTCAGAGACCAGTACACACAGTGCCATTGATATCATAACTGATCATTATGTCTTTATGGTGATGTTTTCTTTACATTTAACCCACAGATTGTGTGTGGCGTGATTCTGGACTCTTGTAAACTAAAGTCCTTAGAGACCCAATACGCTCAGCTCGAGAGATGACAATCTGAGTGGCACAACTGTGGTGAGGGCCGATAACAGATGGTTTATCAAGTGCAGTGGAGTGGCCTGATCAATAGGAAGTAGATTGGAGTGTCATCCTGGGCAAAATGAAGTTTAGGTTTATGCATCAACTGAGCCAAAGCAGTAGCCTCACAAGCTGACCTGGCATCATGGGTTATGGTTGAATTTACTTTTAATATACTATTTTAACAAGGTAGTTTTAAAGAACTAATGATGATCCAACAGATCTGGTTAACTCCCTAATCCTCTATACAGGCCACTAAAAGATGAAGCAAATCCACTGTACTGGTTTACCTTTTCAAAAATGCTGATACATAATTCTTATGATAAAATGGGCCAAGGGGTTGATTTTAGTCAGAAAGTAATATTTGAATAAAGGAACTTACTTTGACTTCTTCCTGTAGTTTTCCAAATCGCACAGTGCCATTCAGTATCCTGCTGATGAATCCCTGCTTTTCCTGCTGAAGAACTGAAGCCTGGTGAGGTAGAGAGGGGAGATGGGAGGTTACTGATCTAAGAGTGGAACACAGAGGGGGGTGGAGTGCACAATTGGATGAAGGAAATTGGAAATAAGGATTATGGGAGAGATGGGTAAAAGAAAAGAAGGAAAGACTGTTGAAACTTGCAGTGGCCCTTTGAGAGGCACAAACACTGCCACAAACTACCTATTTTCAGTTTTATATAATCAATGATTTTAAAAGGGGTACATGGAAATTACAAAAGCGATTAGCAATACAAATTAAATATCAAATTATTAACCCAAACAATTTCTGTCAGCATATAACACAGCTGGTGCACTGATTCCTAATCTGACTTCTCTCTGCCTCTAAAAAGTTACAAATCTGCACAGATTTGTTAAAAGAGGGTCGGGAGTTTCATTGTGCCCTCAGTAAATGTTAATTTACTATAATTTCATTTAGAGAATTAATCTAATAAACTGTCTTTTTGAAACAGTTTCAGTCCCTAATTGTATAATTACCAGGATTTGACCAGGAAGTACCTTGATATTCACTACAAAATGCAGAAAAGAGAGTGTAACTCAAAATTTTAAGAAACATCAGCAAACTGTCTAAACATAAATACTGTTATCCTAGTGGTCTCAGTCACTGAAGTCAACAACAATTAAAATTTAACTGATGTGCCAGTCTTCTTTAAATGTGGACATAGAAACAGTTCTGCTGCTCTGTGCTCCAGCCACAATGCAGCAAATAAACAACTATAATAGACACACACACACACACACACACACACACACACACACACACACACACACACACACACACACACACACACACACACACACACACACACACACACCCACACACACACACACACACATCATTGTGGTCACCTTGCCCTCATCCAGAAAAAATAGGTTCTTGTTAGCTTTAGACCTGCTGCCTCTAATATAGTGTCAGTCTGACCTTCTACAAGCTCTTGCTTATCGTCTAAACAGATATGGCAAAGTCCCTGCATCCATTAACATTTACCAGAAAAAACTTTCTCAGACATGACGCTGACTGAGCCAAGTACATACTGCAGTACTTCCTTTGCTTTCAACTATTTGTTTCAGATAAGCTCTAGTTTTTGATTTAATAAGAGGTATATTGTGGCTTGATTTTGATCAAATTGAAGCCTTTGTCAAGTAAAAATGATTTCTTTTCTGTTGCCTGTCACCTCGTTTTAGTTTTTGCAGCTGTCAGCAGCCTGCACATAAATCAAGCTCATTTAGTAAACTAACAGACATAGGAGGCTGTTAATTAACTTTTCTGGAGTGAGAGCACTGCCTTCTCAAGGGTATGTGGCCTGGAGTTGGCGCTCGCAACACTTCCACTAGTCCACTAGAAAAGAAATGTCATTCTGGACAATTCCCATTGTTCAACCTTACCTAAATCATTTATCACTCCCAAAATTATAATATGTCCAAATCTTTAAGCTTGATTACTTCACATTCATTCCATAGAAGTTATTAAACAAATGTTATATATGTTGTTATGTAATGTTATATACACACATCTATACATCTCTCTCCTACCCACTTATCCTGGATAAATGCGTTGAATGATGGAAGTCTCAAAGACACAATTATACACAATCCACAATCTTGACATATACGTTTATATATGTGTACTTTTCTCTAATATAATTGTATTGTCTGTGACACGTTGGCAATATTGTCTACCTGATATTCAGGCCAATAAAGCATATTGAATTGAAAATTGAACTTGGTGGGACAGTGCAGCAGGTCCAACAGAGGCTCTGTGATGTCTCTCTGAAATCCTGAGGGAAATGCAGCCAAACTGTAAGTATCTTCTCAGTACAGGGCTATTGCTAGCTGCAGTGGTTTTCCATTTATTGCTCAATCAATGTACCAGTAAGCCATGACAGTCAACCAGCATGTAATACCAGAACCATGAGTCTATCCGAACTAAATGGAATGCAGTTGTTTCCAATTACACCTGTGCTTTTCCCGCTGTGACAAGTCTATTGCAGGCACCTCAGTAAATTCAGTCGAATGCATAATTAGTCACACTTATCATACTTACACAGTTGTCCCTGCATTTTACTGCTAACATGAAGAGTGTGCCTCAGATTGCAGGGGAAACTGCACCTGTTTGATAAATGAAGTCCCCAGGCGCAAAAGGTTTTGGAAGAGTTTTTTGTTTTTTTTGTCTCTGTGGATCTGTTGCTGCTTCTCACTATATGCAGAGGACAGCATTATGGTTTCCAAGCATTTCCCAGATTGTCCGTGCTGCTGTAGTATTTCCTGACTGTCAAATTGTGCTCTGGGTGCCTGCCAGCTCTGCTGTGGTTGTTTTTATAATCCCACCTGCCTGCATACTAGTTAAATACCTAGCAAATGATCAAGTACACTGCTGTCAAATCAAACCTGCTGAGTTTTGGTGCCTGCGTTTCAATTTAATCATACGGCTGACACTTCTAGTGACAGCCTAAAGGTTAAATAAACTCTATAGTTCCAAAAACAACTGTCTATCTGTCTTGTTGATTTTGAAGTATGACAGGAAATTGATAAGAAAAAAAATTACTTTGAATTTTTTATTTTCTGCGATGGAAAGCTCAGGTAAATTCATTCCACTAATTCCATTTATGTATGGTAGAAATGAGTGTGTGTTGGTGTGTGTAGAAGTTTAATGTGACGACATTGTGGATTTCAGTACATGAAATATAATCTAACCATTTGGCCACTCTACAGAGTCAGTAGTGTTAGTGCTATCATATATAATACCCTGGTCTTTTTCCAGGGTTAAAAGTTTCCTGCAGTGACAGAAGAGTCAGGGGGATAACATGTATCTGTGTGTACATACCTGGTCTCACTAAGCCCAGGATGTCAATAGTACCATGTGTAAAGTGTACCATGATTAATATAAAATTGCTGTACAGTATCAGTAACATTAGTAGTACCATATGTAGTAGTTGGTCTCTCTCCTGCGAAACATGCTCTGCCACAGAAATGACAGCTCCAAGGTAATGCCGAATCTTTTCTTCCTTCAACACACACTCTTCCTTCTGCCGCTTCAATACACTCATCCTCCTCTCAGCCTTCCTGGATGATGGAGAGACGGGACAGAAGAACATAATACGTAAACGAGGATTAAAGCAAAAGATGGAGAAAAAGGATAGGGAGAAAAAAATATGCAATGGGATGGAGAGGGATAGGAGGACTGCAAAACACAGGAGCACAAACCGGAGGAGCGAGGAGATTTAGGAAAAATGTGGGAGAGAAAAATGTAACAGGGGTTAAGGATAAGGAAGATAGCAGATATAAGTGTAGGAAAGGAACAGAAAAGAGAAGAGAGCTTAGTGGATAATATCTTGAGACCCTGTCAGCGCGATGCAGGCAGGGTGAAAAAACTGTCGGTTAATCAAACACCCCCCCCGACAATCTTCACACTTCAGAATGAGAAAGACAACATTAATCTCAACTTGCCTACAGGGAGCAGAGGAAGGTTGCAGAGACCAGAGCATATTTTAGAACGGCTAAAATCCCTGACACAAAATATATGATGCACTGTTGGAAAATAACCTGATCTGAACGATAGTATTTGTAATGCTGTCTCAAAGCCACTGTAAACTTCAGCTTATGTCTGTACAGTGGTTTAAATAACATCACCCTCTCACACTAGGAATTTCATGTTTTTCTTTTCATTTTTTGGAGTGAGAATATTAAACATGAGAAAAACTTCAGTTGTGGGCAATTTGATTTAACGAGGTATTCATGTTTTTTCCTGTTTAGTTTGATGAGATTTTCCATGTCACACCTTGATTCAGTAATTATTAGCCAAAACTGTAACCATTAGAGGCACTGCACAGGCAGTTTTTTATCCTAGCTGAATGCACCTCTGTCTAGTTTGGGCAGAGCTATCCTGGGAACTATACATAGTCATTAAACATCCATGCACTAATAAGAAAAAGATGAACATGTGAACAGGTGGAACAAAGCTACCAGACTGAGGGAGACGTCAAACAAACACAGTTTGTAGCCACACAGTCCCGAGAAGAGCCCTAAACAAGTAAAAAAGTGAAAACACACTAATGATTGAAATAACTACATTCTTCTGTATTTAACAACATAATTAAATTACTTTATACTATAATATTAAGAACCACATACCAATCTTAGAATGCTTAGAACATGTCCATTTAACTACCTATTTTTAACTACATACTGCATAGCTTTGTGTTAAAACGTTTGTTCAACAAAAAAACACATTTTAAAATATGCCAAATAATAATAGCTGGAACAGTTCTGACCACACATTTTAGTCTCATGTAAAGTAGCAGTAGCAATAATAACAGTAGCAGTACACCCTTAACCTTTATTTATTCAGGGGAGTTCACTGAGAGCCAAGTTGACTTTTTCAGGTAAGTTCTGATTATACAGTTGTATACACTCACATCTGGAACCTGCCCAGCACAACCACATTCTAATCTGTTGGCCACTAAGCAGCTAGGGGTTAGAGACCTTGCTCAAAACATGGTCATGGTCAAACAACACACAACACACAACCCAAAGGTCTGGAGAAGAGCACTTTGTATAGTCCAATCTTTTGACATGAAGTGTGTGGTAATGTAATATCCCACTCTTGAATAAGCTGCTCCATCTTTCTGTTGTAATAGCTACCTGCTCAGCTTCACAAAGTGACAGCTTCATCTCCTGCATCATTTTTGGACTTTTTGGACTAACCTAATTTACTTTGACTGTAGTGTCCTAAATCCAGTTTGGGTGTAAATCCAAATATACTTTGACCTTGCGATGACCAAAAGCATGTCTAAGACGCATATACATCAAGGATCTGTGTGGCATGTGCCAGGATTCATGTGTGAGATGAGAGCAGACAAAGAACTGTGAATGTTTAGTACCTGTTGGCTTGTCTGGTAAGCTCAAGCTCAGCCTCCATTCTCTTTATATCAGCAGTCAGATTGGCTTTGTCCAGAGCCAGACTCCTATTCTCTTCCTGCAGACGGGACACTCTAAGATGCAGCTGGTCCATCTCACTCTTGTTCCTTTTCTCCTGCTGCTCCAGCTGCCTGAGAGCCAAGAGCAGACTTTACAGCACATTATAACACAACATCTGCTACTTGATCAGTGTTTCCCCTAGGCTGACAGCTTTGGGGGAACAGGTGTGGGTGGGGGAGGGTGGGGAAGCAGGCTCGAGTAGCATGTTCCTGTAGTAGAGGAGGCAGCAGTTTCCACAGGTCCACAGTCATACAACCACATTTCTAGGAACCTAGTTTTTCATGCAGCTGCCACCTACTAAGTCAGAAAGTAGTATTTGCGTGGTGTCGTTGCCCAATCCATATTAGAAACCTGATTTGTTCTACACACACTAACCCTACCCCTATTTTTACCCAATTCACTAGTTGGCGCTGTCACGAAAAAGGTCCTAGAAGCTCCTAGAAATGTGGTCCTTGGACAGCGGTCATGAAACTGCAGCAGCTAGCATCCTCACCACTGTCACCAGTGACTGATATCTTGGCCTGACTTTCAGACATTTGGGGTTGACATCTGTCTATTGGAGAGGGATTTATAACACTTGGAAAGCTTTTATTGCACTGAACGTCAACCTATCTCTCCTCTGCTCTGCTCAGTGTGTGTGGAGGGGCCAAGACACACGGCGATAAATAAAAAAGCAGAGGAGAGAAACATCGTAACATAAATGACAGCAAGTGTAGAGTCCAGTCGCTCACACTGAGTTGAAATGAAATGAGTGTACATACAGTAGGTAATTGACATAAATAAAATACTTTTAATTAGTAAATGTATCCTGTCACTATATAATGTACCAATATACTAACTAATCCTAACTCACATCTTTATACTACTTATTCAGATTGATTTGTGTAAAGCCTATGGGCTTTCTTTCCCTCATCCATCAAACATAACTAAAACAGTTACAGCTATGATTCTGCTCTACCACATTAATGTATTCTTCACATCCCAGTGCCTCTCTGTTGCAATTAAAAGCACAAATCCTCAGGTGCTACTCATTTGCTCTTCTCATCTTGTTCCTGTTTTATATGCTACAAATCAAATCTACACTGAATTAATAAACTGAACTAAAACTTAGCTCTGACATCTGGCATTTCTGGATGAGAATATGGACTTATATACGGCAAGTGAGAATTTGTATTACTTATAAACTGTTATACTGTTATACACATACACTGTTCAGGGTTTGTGTTAAGTTCTTCTTATTCTCACTTCAACAGAGAGAGAAAACAATGGTGTCCTCACTTAGAAGAAGGACAGTTGTTGATACTGATTCATTCATATTTTAGAAATATTTAATAAAATAAGACATTGATGCAGTACCCTCTGAGTTTCCCAGCAATGTTGCAGTGTTCATCCCAGGTGACAGCATCCTTCAAGCGGGCCTGCAGAACTTGGACCTCCCTCATGTTTTTCTGCATCTGCCTCCTGCTCTCTTCCAGATCCTCCTGCAAATGCTGCTTTTCTGCCTCTAACAACTGCAGTTGCTTAGACACCTTGGAAACTACAGAGAGGAGAAGGAAAATTGAGTGTAAACAGTCTAAATGAAAGCAGAGCGGATCAGAGAAAAGAACCTGCATCTACAGTTAGCTATAAGAACTTGATTTTTAAATTTAAGTCTTTCACTGTAGCCAGTACCTTCAGAGTGGTGTTTACTATGGTTGGCCTTGGCCTTAACATGCTGAGCCTCAAGTTGATCAATCAAAACCTGGTTTTCCTTCAAAACCAGAATGGCCTGTTGTTGTAGCTCATGACTGTAGAGTAAAAGAGAGAGGGAGAGAGATTATGTCTATACTTACACAGGCAAAGCACAAAGCCATTTCAGGAATAACATGAATATAGCAGTTATAAATTATCAAACAAAAACACATATCACTGTATTAACTGATACTGAATAGGTTATACCTTTTTCTTTATAATCTTTTATTGATTTTTTAAAAGAATTGTATTACGTACATCTTTTTAAGTTAAATGTAATGCGTTCTTTATCCTCATAACTAGTTTTGGATGCATTAGTGGACTGGAGAACAATCAGTGATCTCTGAGTGAAAGAGCCTGAAAAACGAAGGATTTACCATTTGACCTGAAAATCTATGGAATGAGCATCAAGCTAGAGATGGTGAGTCACTTAAATGATTACTTTGTTTGCATGCAAACTGATGTACTGTAAACAGCTCTTAACACTTTGTCTTACATATTCCTTTTTCTCTTATAATCATTAGTAAATGGGGTGATATGGTTGTCATTAAATGTGGTAGTGTTGTCATAATCATGAATACTGGATAGTAAATAACTGTTCAGTATTCAGTGGTCGACTCAGTAAGTTGGTCTCTATAAGAGCACTTTCCGAATGCACTGAATGCAAATGTGTGCAAATGTATAAGTAACAATACACACACCTACTACTAGAGAGCAACAGCAACAATGTTAGATGGACAATTTAATAGATTAATGTCTCAAACTGCAGCTGTTTCATGTAAAAGTGAAAGCAATTATCTGACTCACCAGAGCTACTTACTATGAGAAGATACTGTAAGTTTATAAGTGTCAGCGAACATCATAAGCTAGAGGGACCATGAAAGAAATAGTAGTGAAGGGGAAGATATAGGAGCATAGAGGAAAATGTAAAGGTTTTACATATTTTATTTTATCATTTCACACAATATACTGGAAACATTAGTAACAGGCCCCAAGACAGACAAGAGGAGGTATTTCCACTATGAGAAGAATGAGTGGTGACAGTCAAGCAAGTGCTGACAGTGCTGAACCACCACACACACACGCACCCACACCCGCGCACGCACACACGCACGCACGCACACACACAAACACAGAGAATAGAATTTCTTCTTACCAGTCTTTCTGGCTGACCCCTCCAACCTTTGCAATTTCATCATGGAGTCTCTTATTTTCTTTGATCACCTGCTCTACATGAACACGCAACCTCTTCACCTCTTCCTGTTACAAGCAGACACAGACACACAAAGACCTCTGATTTTAAACTGGAAAAAAAACAGAAGTCTTCTACTCTACTCCAAGGGTAAGGGATCCCGTAGCCAGACACCATTCCTGACTGTGACTACAACCTGCGCTCCTGTTGGCACTGTTACTGTTACCACCATGCACATAAACCTGCTGAGTACAATCTCACTGGCAACTGAATAGTCCAATGCATGACACTCTTTTTCCCTGAAGACTGTCACTGAATGCTTTTTGATTCTTATTTGTCTAATAGGAACAAAAGAAGGCTGTGTGAAAAATGTCAAGTTTCTTTTGAAGGATCTCTAATCGGCATCCAATAAATTCTTCTCTTCTTCATTTTCTTTTGACAGTTGAAATAACCTATTATTATCAAGCCAAGACAAAGTCTGTGCTTGAGGATGAAGAAAAACTAAATTTCAGTTCCACTTCACCATTTACAGTAACAGCCTTACAACAAATACCATTGTTTCTCTCTACAATCATAGTTTAAGTTATGCACAGCCTCAACACTGTTTAGGTAGCCATTTTATAACTTACAGCAAAAATGTTACCATTGTTAAAAAAAAAAAAAAAAAAACACCTTGACAAATACTCATGTTCACCACAAAGTGTATTGCTGGTTTTGATCCCATGGGTTGCATATATCCAAGGCAACACATGTTGATTAACTTTTTGCTGCTCCGATAACACAGCCCACTAACATTATCATGAAAGTTGACATGATAGCTGACTGAGGGGATAATAAATTGAAACTCACACAAATGCATACAATGAGTCATAAACACTTTTACCTCTGTGGTTTGCAGAAGTGCATCTTTCTCTTTTATCCTCTCTTCGTAGGCCAGCAGTAGGGGAGATAAATACTTTGTGTCAAGCTACAAAAAAAGGACAAACAGAAATTATTCAAATTAGCTACAACATCAAATAAATCTATTCCCATATAGATCTCACTAAAGGCAGAAAATCACTTTTGAGCTCACTAGTCACAGTGGTTGGTAAATCTGAGCCATACCACATGCAAATGGGCTTTATTTTCCTTATTTACTCAGCAGGGTTCCAGTCATTGTGGACAGATACTGAACAACCTGTCATTCTGATTTGGTCATTTGAGTGATGGCGCATACCTTCTTTCTTTCGTGCAATTATTTTAGTGAATCTGGCCCTGAACTTCCAAACTATCAGACTGAGCAATAATGATTTCACTCATTAAATCTATTTCATGAGGTTGAGATGGAAAAGACTGGCCAGCCTTTTAACTTAATAGGCATTATTTTAAATTATCATCCACCTGTATTAACAATAAATTACTTGGCTATTAAACTAGCTAGCCATGTTAAAAATATTGATTAGCTAAATTTGACCATTAACCACCTTAGATTACTGTCATGCTATATTAGAGTAATCATCTATACAGTATATAGATACTGACCAGCCAGGGATGAGGAGACCCTGAAAAAGTCAGTCAGCTTATCATCATCATAGCCATAGTCAATAATGTATGTCAGCTTTAAATGTCCTTCACACAGTCAAAACAATTGAAGTAACTGAAGAAAAAAAAAGTTTTGTATTTTGCCGTTTCTTCTGTACAAGTGATGGAAACATTTCACAGGAAATCTATTCCAACGTTTTCTGTAGTAGAGAATATCACGGTTTTATAGTAACAACAGAACCAAAGGGGAATCAAAAGTAAATGATAATGTTTATGTGACCTATGGAATTAGATCATTTTAACCAACTGAACCTATTCACACTTCTCCTTTCCCTTATTACTGCATTATTCTACTGTAAAACCAACTAATCATTTTTCTTGATCTTATCCTTTCACCAGCCACACGTCAACTGTCCATGATGAGGGCTAGCAGAGCCATGCAACTACAGAGGAAACTGGTAATGATGAGAGCAGGAGATCTCCCGGTGTGAAGGCACAGCATGCGGAAGCCATGATTAACGCACACAACAGCCCAGAATGGACAGAGAGCCACAGACAGGAACAAGAATCTCTTTTAGTCCAACAAATCAGATGGAAGGACACACAAAAAGAAAACCTTATGCTCAGCGGGGTTCTGGTTCAAAGGCAGAATTTTATCTTAAAGGTTTGGCTGCAAAGAATTGCTAAAGCTATGAAAATAAAGTGATGTGCTGGTAATAGATTCTGTATGAAAGCTGACTAAATTAAAGTAAGAAGAGAGGTGATAAAAGGATTACATTACAGGATAAAACGGACTAAAATTTATCATGGTGGAGAACAGGGAAGCGGAGGTGAATACAGTAGAACTCAGACACATCTGGTTTAATTTAATTTTGGCAACTTGAGCTGACTGATAAGTGGAAAGGTTCTCAGTGCCATTCCCTGACAGTAGGGGCTCTACAGATAAGCTTTTTAAGGCTGGGTATTTAAGTTCTCTGCCAAAACTCTCCTGATGCAGGCACAAGCCTATGACAGTTCTATGTCAGCTACAACCAGGTGTAAGGAGGTCACATTCATTGTCACTATGTAAATTTGATTGAGTGTATTTCCACAAAACATGATTATATTCTTTATCAAAAACACTGAAGAGAGTCAAACATAAGAACTTCACTTCATACATAAAATGAGGTACTACTCAGAAGCAGAGGAGTCATCTCGTATCTTGTCATACCTCCTGTTTGGACAGTGATCGGAAGCGGGTTTGGTAGCGACTCAGTTCCACATTCAGACGGTGAACTGTCAATTTGAGGGCATCATTTTCATCCACCAGCTCCTGAGCATGTTGCCTCAGATTCTGTAGTTCTGCCTGACTGCCTGGAAGCACAGTGCGTCAGGTTATAAATATTTTTGAGATATTACATAATGATCTTATTCAGAGTACCATGATACTTAAAAAGAAAGTACTAGAACAATTCATAAATATATAAATATTACAATAGTTTACAAACAAGAAATGTCACAGTCAAGACCTTAAAGTCCTTACAATATGCAACACAAGCTATGCTTATTATTACATTTTTAGGAGGAAAGAACAGAAAGAACGGGTAAAATCTAATCTTGAGAAAACTACTGTATGGCAAGGTGGGTTAGTGAGACTCTCCATATGGTCTGCTGGCTGACACTGAACCTCAACCTGAGGAAGGAAAACAGAATTTCCCCCTCGGAGTATAATAAAGAGTACATAATCAATGTGTCACTGGCAGAGACTGCAGGAGAACTCCAGTACTTTTCCATACTGCTCGTTCCAGCCCACCAGGAGGTCAGAGTCGCTAACCACCAAATTCAGCCTGCTGCCTATTTACACTGCCAATTTTCTATCCTCCTTTAAACTTTTTTTGATTTTCTTCACTTTCATGTGTCTTTTCACTGTTCCCTCTCCCCCTTCTTCTCATCATGCTGAGGAGGTGCTGTGGGGATCGAGAGTCAGTCATATCTACTCTCAGCACAATCTCCACCTCCTTCCTCTACCCTTGCATCGTTCCCTCTCTCTTTCTCATTTCCCTTCATCCCCTTTCCTCTGATACTCCTTCCTTCACTCTGTTGATTCTCTTTCTGTCTCTCTGTATATGTACAGTGGCTCCTCCACCCTACCTGCTGATGACCTCAGGTTTGAGGAGGCTTGGCTGTGACTGATCTCCTGTTCCAGGTGCTGCAGTCTCTCCTCCAGTAGCGTTTGTTCACCTGCCATTCTTGCTTTCTTCGGCAGGTCCCGTACCACCTTCCTCTGCACCTCACTGTACGCCTTCCTGGGCTGTGGAGATGGCTGAGTGGGGTGTTTTGGGGTTTTGGCTTGGCTGGATTGGCTGGGGTGGTCAGTGGTTAGGATGGGTAGCACAGCTGAAATATGAAAGGTAAACACTTTTAATGGCAGTACATAGAATAATAGATGGAAATGTACTATATTCCTAAAACATATAATACAGTCAGAGGATTACTTGTGGGAATACTTAAAGCAAGTATCCAACATGGCTGTTACATAAACAAAGACATTTGTAGAGTAAGCAGAGATACATTTCTTGAAATATTATAGATAAAAAAGCATAATAATTTGACTGTAACTTTGACAATCTCTTGGACTATATCATGTGACTAAAACGAACAACTGTATTAGCATACATTAATTGTACAGTAATAACCCTGCTAATAAAGGGTATATCATGGAATAGTGTCGTATGGTATTGGCTGCCCTTTGTCACAGTAAGACAGAAAACGCCACCATTGCAAGAACAGAGTGGAGGGAAGATAGGAATAACAAAAAGATGAGAAAATCAACAGCATGCTCAATATACTGTTAACAGGTACATGGTGCAATTCTCCTTAACTGCTACCACTGCCTTTCTCTGTGGATATGAGAAATCTTGTAGCATGTAAGCTCAGGGGAACTCAGGTATATTACATTTCCCCTTAAATGCTGCTGAAGCCCTTTTCATTTGGGGTTTAAACTTAAAAACAGCATCCTATGTAGACACAGGTTTGCAACTACAGTAAATACAGCTGAATATACATTGATGGTAATGTACTACAGATACACTCTGCAATTACCATCACAAAATACTGGTCTGTCATGACATCTTAGGCACATGCAGATAGAGGGCAGCATGACCAGTCAACAGCAGTGTGAGGTGGGTAGTAGTGCAACCAGTCAACAGTGGTATGAGGCAGGTGGAAACAAATCATAAGTAATGGCTGAATCATTTTTCCTGATCTAAAGCAAGCCTTGTTTTTTACTGTTGTACTGTAAATAAAAAGCTGGCTTATCCCTTTTACAGACTTCACAGATTGCAGACAGATTTGTACACTGTTATACTATAAATTCACTAACAGTACACAGTACACTATACTAATGCACTTTACAAAAAAAGACAGAGTAGACTATCTGCTCAGGAGACTCGAGTCTTTTGGAGTGAAGGGGGCACTGCTGTGGTCCTTCTATGACTCTGTGGAGGCATCAGCCATTTTCTATGGTGTGGTCTACTGGAGCAGCAGCATCTCTCCTGCTGACAGGAAAAGACTGAAACAAACTGATCAAGAAGGCCAGCTCTGTTCTGGGATGCCCCCTTGACCCAGTGGGGATAGTGGGCTACAGGAGAATGATGGCTAAGCTATCATCCATGTTAGAGAACATGTCCTACCCCATGCAGGGCACTGACAGCACTGAGCAACTCCTTCAGCGACAGACTGCTGCACCTGTGCTGCTGTCAGACTGTACAACAAACACTGCACTCAGTAGACCACACACACACCAAAGACAACTCACCATGTGGAATAATAATTAACACACACCAACTGTGCCAACCTTTTATGCTGCCATTTTTGTTATGTTTTTTTAAGTATTTCATATTAACATTTTGCAGTTTCTCTTTTCTTTGTACTGTCCACTTTGCTGCTGCAACACTGCAAATTTCCCCACTGTGGGACAAATAAAGGAATATCTTATCTTAGCAACAGTGAGTGCACTGGTAAGATCTAGGTCTGAAGCTGTCAATGTAGGGTAGGTTACAGCATGAGACACGGAGAGGCAAATATGAAGTGTCTCTTTAAAGTTCAGATACACAAAATCAAGTTATTTTTCATTAAGGATTCAGCAAAATGAAAAAAACAAAAGTCAAAATTACAAGAAACCAGAAGGCAACTTTAGGATCTCCACTTACACGGTACACCATCTCTCTGACTGCCAGAGCTCGTCCTGACAGAGGCTTTCTTCTTGGAGGACTCACAGCTGGCCTCAGGAGACTGGACACTGGTTTCCTCAGTGAAATCTGTCAGATAAGAACATAAAAACATCATGGCATCATTAAATTAATAAAATTGCAGAAGAAGTACTGGGTACTGTGGGATTAATTATATAACCCTATTCTACCATGAACTGCATATTGTTATATAAAAGTGACTTTCCCCATGGCTTGAATGTATTACAGGCAGCCTGTATGTAGCATACACACTTTAGTGATTAAGGTAGGAACATTTGAGGGACACTTAAATGTTTTAATTCATCACCACCAAAAGCCTGAGGCCAGCTCTGGTAATAACAACTATAATGAGGCTTTCCATTAAGCTCTAATGAGGTAAAGCTACATTATGGCTATTATGAAACACATGTTGGCTGTAATTCTTCACTAAAAGGCAGGGGGCTCATGCAGTACATGGTGTATCTGAGCCTGTCAGATTCTGTGATATTTCTTTGTATGGGCAAAAAAATACACTAAAATCAATTTGCACATCTTTCTTTATATCATCTCAATAGCAAAGTGTACATGTCCACCAGATAGCTTTAATGGAGGTGCGCTACCAAGATTTTATTGTTGCTGGGATGTCCACTTATTCAGAAAGGCTTTGTGTTTCTGAATTTCTAGCACACTCTTTTGAAAGTGCTCCATCAATACAGCAAGTGCTGACTAAAGGGTCTCAATACTTTTGTCAATGTGATATTTCAGTTTTTCCTTTTTACAAAATTAGCAAAAATGTCTAAAATTCAGTTTTTTCATTGTCATTATAGGGTATTGATGAGGGAAACTTTTTATTTAAATGATTATAGCACAGGGCTGCAACATAACAAGTGAACTTAAGGGGTCTGATTACTTTCTGAATGCACTTTGTTGTTTTATATTTACAGACACTCAGCACAATATTATCTGCCGAAGTTGATGTTATCACCTTAACTCTAATTAATGTAAATGTAATGTAAACTCAGAGGACTCCAGTTTAGAGAAGTCAAACACAATATGTTTGTTAGTGACAAACATTCTATATAAATAACATGGTGATAAATATAGAAAAGGTGACATGTTTTGATTTTGAAGGTTTGATACTATACGGGGTGTGTGGAGGCTGAGCACCTACAATCATTGGATCAGCGCTCAAAACAAACTTACCACATAAAAACAAAATCACAGTATGACCAAATAAATATTCTAAAATTCAACAGTCAAATGTCAAAGTCAAAAATTCTTGAGTAATTTCTTGTGTTTTCCAAGGAGGCCCATTGGAAAGCTACAATATGTAGATATTGATCACTGAAGTCGTTTTCTTGAGCTTTCACATATGTAACTCTTAAATAAACAGTGCTCTATGGTAAGTTTAAACTGGAATGATAAATCATACTATACTCAACTTTTTGTCCTATTTATTGGTTTTGCTTTGTCACTACTATGTTCACACACTTGGGACTACATATCTGTAGTATCTGTAACAGTGTCCACCCATCTCCAATTAGTGTGAAGTCAGTACCTGAAGAAGGAACTCTTCTGCCAGACATCTGCTTTGGTGGGGGCATTTTGGTCTGGAAGACAGACAGACATAAAATACAGACAGACAGGCAGTGAGACAGACAGATAGTCCTTTCAAAATGATTTTCCAAGCCCTGCTGCCTGGATCCCTTTTGTGCAAGGCAATTTCAGAGACCACTGCATTTATGGCCATTGTCGAAATGACAATGGACATAAGACCTTGTGCGTTTATTGTTGTGAATCTTAAGAGACAGATGTGAACAATATGACTGAGTCACAGTGTTGGCTTCAGTGTAAAGAACAGTCACAGCAGAAAACCAAGAGCAGGAAAGAAATAACTATAACCTGTTCATTTTATGCCACAATTATAAGTCTGATGGACAGAGGCATAACAACCATATGACTAGAAAAGATACCATAGTCATATGTTCACATGCAAACACAGTACAGGTATTTTTTCACACCCACTCAAATCCTAATCCTGCATAATAAAGACAGCAACTGATGAAAGTGGCTGTCTCTTTATGGTTGTGTATATTTATGAAGGTATAGCCTGATGTTTCGTGTGGATGTAATTTGTATGGTGGTACATCATTATGTTAGACTTTAAAATATGAACTGCTACACTTTGTGCTCGCCTTATATTTTGCAACAAGGAATACCAACCTCTTGTTCTGTGTTGCTAAAATATTTTCAACTAACTCTGACTGAGTAATGTTGTGAATAAACCAGTAGCCAGCTAGACTCTACAACGGCCTGGAAAGACAACTGACAGGGGGAATTGACCACTGGGACCAGTATAGGTTAGCAACTGAAGGTAGCAGTATACAGAAGAGCATGAATAGAACAATATCCCATGAGTCTGTGAGAGCAGACTTTTGGGGATGTAATCACTGGGATACTGTCTTACTGTCTCACAAGAAGAAAGTACATACTTTATATAGACCGTGGAAAAAGACTTGACAGTGAGTAGGCAAAGCAAGCCATTTCAGGCAGTGAGAGAAAGACATTTTAGAGGTGTGACAGGGGAAAAATGTACCCACTACTAATACACTGTAGTCAGTGACTACAGTAAATCACAATTACAAAGGCACAGAAAAAAACTGCACAAGCACAGTGGAACAAACAACAATAGCCAAAATTAAATCCCCACCAACACTAATTAAAAAGAGCGCAGACCTCCACCAAGGACAATATCAATCAAGATAAACCAAACTACAATGAAAAAAACTGAAATTCATACTCAATGATCAGAGCTGCACCAAAACTGAATGGGTTCTTCCCTGGCTCATGCCCTATCCCTCCACCTTGTGCAGTGCAAATCAGCTCAGCACTTTTCGTGTAATCCTGCTGAATAAGCAAACACGGGTGAAAACCTAACTTCCTTGGCAGAGGTAAAGATGACTTAGATGAATCAAATCCTGTGACAGTTTTAGCAAAAACTAAACAGATCACTTTTCTACTGTACAAGACCTCTATTCTATGTACAGCTGTGCCTCCCAGTGGGTCTGACAGGTATCACAATGCCCACAATTAGCTTCAGAAGCATTAAAAAGTGAACCAATTTTAAAAGGTATGAGGGATAGTTGTCTTCCCTCAACACACACATTCAACACATACCTTGCTTAAAGCAGATATTCTGACTTGTCATAAAATGAAAAGCACAGGTGTAACTGATAACATGATAACGATGTCTCAGTGTACACACAGGGCCTGGGAACCGGCTAAGATAAATGTAATGCATGTCATTATTGAGATTATTAATTACACCTGTGCTGTTCCTGCTCTAACATGTCTAATTATCTGTTATAAAACAGATTTACTGTCAGCTGGACAGAGCAATCTTTTGCTGTTGGCCATGAAGCAACTCCAGCTGGAAGTTAACTAGTTTGTTAAAAAGCTGTTTAACAGCATTATTTATAGTGGGAAGAATGTTTCATACGTAACAATATCCTTCTGTAGAACCCTACCTTATCTTTCAGAGGCAGCGCGTAAACAGGATCTGTGATTGAACAAGTCTCCCCTCTGTCCAGTGTTTGGTAGATATGGTCCTCCCTTTCCTCTTCATTCTCTAACTCCTCTTCCTTGTCTTCCAGCTCCTCCTCTGAGTGGTCAGGGGAGGACAATCGTGGTCGGCTGGCCAAATTTTCTGACCACCTGTCTCTGAAGAAGGTAAGAATTTAATATTTCAAAAGAACAGTGGTGGAAAATTTGTTTAAATTCAATTTTTATAGAGGGACAAAGTAAAATAACCTATCTAACTTCTACTATTAAGTATTTCACACAGCAAACATTGCTATGCTTTTTCTACTATGACATGTCAAAATGTCTTCAGTGACACCTACTTAATAAACGGATTTTAAGGCTCACTACAAGATGAGATGGTTTATTAAGATAGATTTTGTCAAGGTTATGAGGAAACAGATAGAACTGAAGAAAACCAGGGCCTATATTCAATATTAAAACCTATTAAAACCATATTTTTGCATGACATTTCTTCCCTCTTTTTCAAGGTCACATCTGAAAATTTACAAATAGCTCTTCTGCTTTTACAGCCCCTTTTTAAAAGGTCATAGAATTTCTACTTTAAAAGGCGCTGAAATTATACTTTTACAGCTATTCCTAAAAACAGGACCAATCCACTGAGCTATTTGGGACTGATTTTCTATCCTAACACATTTGATAAATACAAAGCCAGGTCAGGTTTAAATTGGAGGCCACCTTGCATAGTGAGAATCATTTATCACAAAGCTTGAGATAATACTGGTGTATTTCCCAGGGGTTTTACCTATTATAAAGTGCTGTGCTGATGTTTGGTTCAGATATGAAGGACTCTGATCGTTCACTCTCAGAGAAAGACCTTGGCCTGGCAGGAGGGAGGGCCCATGTCTGTCCAGTGAGCGAAGAGGACAAGATGGCTGCTGCTAAGGCTGATCTGCAGATGGAAAGCCACAGTTCATTTGAGGAGAGACAGACACTATGTGTAACAGAAAGTCATGAGAAATGCAAACTACTTGTCAGATCAAAATTCCAAGTTATAATTTGTTATTGCTAATGTTATGACACATTAAGTTCAACAGCTATCAAACGCTTTAAATGGGTTTGATGATATTGTTTTAAATTCACCATGTGCCATTTGGATTTTAAAGCACAACAATAACCCTGTGAACCAGATACAGAAAAAAGAAAAGAAAATAGACTCCACTTTATCATTTAAGTTTGTGGCAAAGGAAGGAGAATGTATGATGAGAATTAGTGATGATTACATCAATAATGGCAACAGTCTTTTGCATTGCAGTGACAATAACAGTGAAAGCTCTTACATTAAGAAACCAGATTTCAACTTGCCCACATGTAGTATACATTTGGGATAGGTAGAGGTATCAACTTGAACAAATGGGTCAACAATCTGTTACTATCTAGCAACAAGATGTTACTGAGGTAACTTGTTCAAAATACTGCCCATTAGTTGCCCAATACGTGACCCTTGAGAGACACTACATTGTAGAGGAGCGGTTTCCTCAGAATTCATTCAGCTGCTGTGCAAGGACTTTTCACTACTGCTAATGATCATGTGAATTTAACCGCATGTGGTTATTCAGCTCAATTTCCATTGAACATTACAAATAGATACGGGCAAAACATTACAAAAAAGTGGTTTAACAGGAAACCAAGTGTTAGATGAAAGGCAATAAAATGAAAGGATGTTGGAGGTTAAAGTTGATGGAGAGTTTTAGGTACCTGGGTCTCTCAGGTGAGGGGTCTGGGCTGCGGGGGGGTGGGGTGCGAGGCACAGCAGGCTTTGGAGCAATGGAGGCAGCAGGGATCAAACCAGGGGCTATATGTTTCTACACAACACACACACAGGGAAGGTTAGGGAGAGGGATAGCATAAAACACATTAAGACACAAACACACACACTGTAGGTTATATGACAATGGTTGAGGAGGATTTAAGTTAGTACATAACATAACTGTTAACACCCAAACTGAGGAAAAAACAGAGGTTACATAGGAGGATGGGGAAGAATAGAAAGGATGATAATAGAATCACAACATTTGATTAACGTAATAGCAAGCAAGCAACCGCCTGTTACAACAATGTGCTTTTTCTACCGGAAACGCACTGTATACTGGTCATTACAGAGCCAGTATTCAATCATTCTTTGGCTACATTTCCAAATGACAGCAGAGAAGTTGTGGACGATAAATCCCTCAGTTTTCCAATGTTTTCATTTGGGTTAACACAACTAACACCACACACCACAAGAGGTATTAATGCTAATAAAATGACGTTACCAATCGTTAGCTTGAATGTTTCTGAAATTATTCAACTTTTGTTGATGTTAAGTGACCGAAGTTAGCATGGTTTCAATGGCAAATAACAGCTAGGTCAATGTGAGCTACATGACAAAAGGCACTTTGGCTAGCTAGCTGGAGACAGAAAAGGATAATTTGTTTTGTAAAATACTCAAAACTTACAAACTCCTTGTCTTTCTCCCTCCTGAAGCTGAATTTTAACATAGTGGAAAATAGGTGTTTGATACTTCCTTCACTAGCTAAGTTATTGTGCCAGTTTAGGCAAACAGCTTGACTCGTTTACCACGTATTCTTTACGTCTAATCGCATTACAAAACTTTACTTCTTGTTGTCATATGTTTCAAATTGTCTGTCCTCCTTTGTCTTAAAAGCGATAAAGCAAAATGCGTTAGCTAACTTTATTCAACAGGCTGACTGCTCGCAGGTCCCTCGTATCTAGACGCTTTACCAAAAGAACACACGTCGCTACAAAAGCAGCGTTGATTGGCTAAAAGTGAAGAGAGAAGCCAATCAGTGACTGTTATAATTCACCTGGCAACGAGGTCCTTAACAACCAGCGGCCTAGCCGAAAGGGGGCGATGTTGTTCCATTTAATGATCAGCTCCAATGTTTAAAAAAAATTAACATATCCGTAATACGTTTTAAAGTATACACTACACACATATCACATTACTGACCATTCAGATATTTCTCTTCCGTGCAAACTTCTTTCATCGCAGTGTGTTTTAAATAGCTGCAAATCTTGATGGTGCTACCTTTCAAACTTCCTTAAACATCTCCACATTTATCACAGCTAACGACAGAATTAAGGTTTTTCAAGCATGAACAGAAAATACACCTAGTTCCCATACACATCAGTCCTGTGCAGAGTGGTTGTAATAATATAAAATATTAAAATAATATATAATATAAAAAACAAGTATTTTCAGTTCGCATTTGACTGTAAATCATCTGTCAATCATCAAATATTGGCCTTTGCCCATAGGAATGGTTGAAATATGAATCCTATAACCATAAGTCAACAGATTTGATTCCTGCAATATTCTCTTGTCCTGTATAAATAAATCTCAATACTGCAGAGAATGTGACCTTTGGGGGTTTCATTTCCAGCTGAGGTCCAAAGCTATAAGAATCATCTGCAGGCAGCTCTTCCACTCAAACAGAATTCCCTTCTACTCATAACAAGCCCAACAGAACCACACACAGACATGTATCCAGACATTGTAGAAAGTCTGATGCAATGAATGGTATGGATGAAGACAGGCCTGATGGGTAGAAACTTAATCACATGGTGTTTCTCTTCTGTTTCTATGATGGTGGATTAGGATGCCATGTGAGCACAGGCTGGATTTAAAACAGTTCAAAACCCATGCATGTTGATTTAGTGTGTGTTGGCTCACTGAGGGGTGAGGTCACACATCATTCCACTCATTCCCAACCTGCTTGGTAGTTTCAGCCACTGAGATACACAGGACCACAATATATATTACAACAAAAAAATTTTGAAATTTGTTTTGTCCCAGTTTTATTGAGTTTACACATATGACACAAAGACTTACTAACAAAGCATTTACACCACAGTTGCTATGCAGCACAGAGTACAGATAAAGAAGAAAAGGCAACCTGAAACCTCTGAAGAACAGGTACTATCACCCTCTGCATACACAGTGGGGTCCAAATGTCTGAATGTGGTCTCAGACTTTTGGACACCACTGTATATGTACACCAAGGCATTTAGAATCACTATGCACTGTGAAATGCATACAAAGATCATTCAGAGCATCATACCTGTGTAGGTATAACTGCCTCTGTTAGCACAATTAGTTGGCACTTGTTAATATGAATCAATTACTGCACATTCTTGTTATACACTTATTGTGACACTTCATGATTTAGTATAAATGGCACTTAAGACACCACATTAGGTAAACAGAGACAGTAAAGAGTGTTACATCTTCTCAGTGTTACTGTTTAAAACAAAACTTTAAAATATCTTTACATAGACAAATATACCAGTATATAAGTTCACCAAATGATTTAGCAAGGCTAGTAAAATACATTCCTCCAAGAAACCAACCAAGAAATCCAACGTGCAAAAATTCACAACTTGACCACTCACAAACTAGTTCTGACACCTACAACTTACAGGCAAAAATATATATTTTTGTGTCTATTTTTCATTATATAAATAATTTGATTATCAAATGTGTATAAGAATCTACTTTGTAGATAAAGAGATAGTCCAACACTGCAAAGTGTCAGTAGAATCTGGGATGTGACTAGGATTAAGACAAGTAGAGACAAATATTAGAAACCTGACTGTGGGCATTGGTCAAGGTCACTGTCGGGTGACCAGCTATTTAGGTTCAATGCAGGAATGTCATCAGTGTGCCCACATTCTTCCCTTCTGGAGATAAAATAACCTTTAACCACGTCAAGATTCACATTACTAGAGACACACAGCGTGTGCTCTTCTTACACATGGACAAACTGCCAGACAGCAGCAGTACTGATAAAAGAGGGTGGGTAAGATGAGTCAGGATGGTAAATGGTAACATACTGGCATGCCAGGGACATGGAGGCATTTTGGTCTGTGGCATAACTGGTACATTAAGCAAACCTAAAATACCAATATTTCCATTTACACTGTGTCCCAGGCATGGCAGTCAACAGAAACAATAATTGTTGAAGGCTGTCTCACAAATACAAAAGTGACAATAATACACAACCAAGTTATATATATATATATATGTTTTTTAGCAGCTTATAGAACATTGCATTCATCAACTCTCCACAGATAAAAAGAAAATAACTGCAGAGCACAATTTGTTTTCCCTCAGTTACTGTGTAACATACTGCAACAAGGTCACATCTACATATCTATTTAGAAAATATATGTATTTCAAATCCCAAAACTGATCAGTGTCCACCGACTATTCGCCAACAAATATCTTGGCAATGACCAAATCTTTCGCGTGTACAGTATGAAATAAACATGTATTGAGGATATACAGAGAACATAACTGCACAGTGCACAGCTACATCAGTACACAATGGAGCTAACAAGGGACTGCTTAAGCCACAGTAAAATCACCCCCTTGCAGTCAAGCAGAACCCGACACTGGGCGTGTTTGTACAACTTTGTTTTCATCCTTCAATTCGTCTGGAGCGTTTCTTCAAGAAAACATACTGAGATGACAGTCTAACTTAGAAACCTGTCTCAGTGCTGTGTGTGTGTGTGTGTGTGTGTGTGTGTTTGTGTGTGTGTGTGTGTGTGTGTGTGTGTGTGTATATATATATAGACTGGAATGGTAACTGGTATGTTTTTCCCACAGTGCAGTTGTACTGTGCTGTACGCATACTGGCATGGTACAGAATGATTTTCCCATTGCATTTGATGTACAGTCCAGTTCACTGCAGATACTGAACTGTGCTGGGAAGGCGCTGATGTACTAACATAGGCACTCAGGTACAGTATTTAGCACAGCCACTTTCCAAGGTAGCTGGTAGTGACGCTGCATTGGTGACCAGCAAGCTACGAACACTACTGCTCGGTATTCCAGTGGAAACACCAAAGGGCACTGACACTGTACCATAGTATGTCCAGTATGGGTACAGCACAGTACTCTATACAGCCATACTAGGCTAAATATGCATACTGCACAATGCTAGCATACAGTAAAAAGCCTGCAGCTAGTGCCTGCAGCTAGTTCAGTACAGGACGCTGTCGTTGTTGTAGGAGCTGGAGCTAGGGAAGGTGGGATATGGTTTATTCCAGGGCTGGGTGCTGGCGTGGTCTGCTGTGGGAAGGCTGAGGGTGCTAGCACTCTTCAGCTTGTTCTTCAGACCCCAGCTGAGGAAGGACGACTTCTTTGTTACTTTGCGGGACTTGGGGTTCTTGTCGTCATCATCATAGGCCAGACAAATCATGGAGTAGGTCTTCGGCAGGTTTCCACAGAAGGTGGCACTCTTTGTAGGCTGGACAGAGAGAGATTGATAGTGACATTTAGTGGAAAGTGACAGTCATTTGTTTAATCAGAGTTGCTCTCTGCTTTGGACGCCAGTCAGTCTCAATCAATATATAGACTCAATACGTTAGCCTTTAAATTGGGTCATTTTGTCAGTGTCACAGAATTGATTCATTTGGTTTAAAAAATTTTAATCCCACAGCTGCATTCTGTTTTACAGACTACATGTAGGTCATATCCAGAGCTACTTCTCATGAGAAACTGTACAGACTATTTACCCAGGCAGGAAACACTACCTCCAAGGACAAATCTGAAACTCTGCTCACTCATCTGATACAGAGTGTCACCGTTAGTCAATCAAACAAACCAGACAGATTACTTTTCTTTTTCTCTCAGCCAATAGGAAGGAAAGGGGGCATGGCATACCATGGGAGGGTTGCTGTCCATCATGCTGACCACCTGGATGTCAATTCCCTCCTCGTTCACGTCCTTAAGCAGCCGCATCACATCGCTCACACCCGACCATTTGCAGTCAGTGTCACCCACGGCGACAATGTAGTCACCTTCTTTGAGCCCATCAGCCTAAAAAAGACATGAGGAAGAAGAGGAGTTAGAGAGGAGGGCTGGTTTCTGCAGCAGGCAGAGTAAACATTTACAGTGGAAGGTTTGTTTGAAAGAAAACCAAGTCAGGTTTACCTACTTTCCTTCAACACCCTGGAGGTAGCTGGGATCAGCAGGGAAAACACTGACTCCAAAACAAAGCTTTTTTTTTTTTCTTTTTTTTTACAGCAGGCAAACACTTGGTAGAGTGTGTGTGTATCAGAGCACATCATTTCATAGCTGTGGGAAATCGGTCTTATCTACATGTGCTCAGCTATTTCTTGATCAGTGTTCACCAGAGGCAGATCAGTCAGGTCTAAAATAAATCCTGTTGAATGCAGCATTAAAAGTTATAAAGAGTCTGGCCTAGTTAAGCTTATGCAATACTACTAATCTGTTTCTCTGCATAGCCTACAGGGTCTAATAAGAATCTGCTCTTTGTCAGCACCTCTTAATGAGCTGTCAGACTGAAAAGGATTGCAGGGAGTAAATACTCTTGGATTCTTAATTAAATTAGTAGCCAGAGTGGATGGAGGGGTGGGGGAGTGGGGGGGGGGGTTCCAAAAGTTCTTTGAGGCTGAATCCTGTTTAGGTTTCTGAGAATGACTTTATTTAATTAAAGGTTCTCTGATCTGATAGGATCGTTTGAACTTACTTGATATTCAGTATGCAAGCATGTCTGAAATTTCACGCTGTTAATTTAGCCACTGTAGAAAAAGCCACTCAGTGATAGTTAATCCTGCTGCATGGAGTTCATGCAATGAACTTAAGTTGAGCAACCTTTGCATCTGGCTTTTGTTAAAGTTTGACTGAAAAAAACTACTGAGCAGGCACCCTGGAATATTTTCTGTGCTCTAAAATAACATAGTTTGTTAAATTTTTTCTAACAGCCTGGAGACGATGAAAACTACAGACGTCATTCTAAGGCTAAAAAAGGGCAAAGACAGTTTAAAAGGGACCATACAGATGTAGTTTATTCAACTGACACCAATTTATGTCACAAATTTATTTCTTATATTCACTGTGATGGATTATCTATCTCAAGATCATTTCAAGTCTATGCAAGCTAATTTTCATACCATGCTGACAATCGTTGAAACCAAAGGCTGGCTGCATTATACAAAATAAATCTTCCCTCGTTCAGTCAACAGCAAGGAATATAGCTTAACTCACAGCAGCTGGGCAGAGGGGGTCCAATGAAACCACCTGGACCGGTGATTCTCCTTTCAGTGTGAAACCCAGGTCTCTGTCTTCTGGGCGGAGTCGTATTGTCCGCGGGGCAGTCCACCGCTGCTTGGCTGAGAACACTGACAGAGGGCCCTGAGTGGAGACAGTGAGGGGACACAGTGGTTAATAAGGCTACAAGAGGGTAATATCCTGTAGAGTTCAAAGATTTTAGTGTATGCCTGGGGGAAGACTGAAATCCAGCATAATAATCCCCTCTTGTGTCCTTACAGGCTTGTTAAACATGACTGAAGTCCACATATGTGACCTGTTACTACAGCAGTACATATACCTTGTAACAAGCACTGTGGTCAGGGACAGACTCTTCAAGTTACATGACCATGGACCATTTTTTTAATGACTACTCTCTCACACCTGACCCTCTGGTTTAACAAGTTTCTGTAATTAGTGAGTGTTTGTTTTGTTTGTTTGTTTTGCCCTCTCATCAGGGTAGTCATGTTTTCATTTGAAAGGACACACAGGCCGTAGTATACCCTATCAACCCATATAAAAAACAGTCTCAACATACTGTATGTGTTACTATGTTGGGCTGTAGATACACAGTAGCCATATTGTATAAAATAATAGCTGAACAACACCACCAAGACCACAAATGACAACTATTTGTTGTTAAGGATTAATCTGGCAATTGGTTTTGCATTTATAGTATATAAAATGACAAAAATGGTTGAATCATCAAGAAATGCTTAAACCAGAAGTGATGTCTTAAATTTGCTTATTTTGTCTGGCTAAAAGTTAAAGTTGCAGTTATTATTAATTAAAGTTATTTAAAATGCATATATAAAATGTTTGATATTTGTACCTGTAAAATGACTTGAATTGAGTTAACAATTTATTTTCTAATAATACTGACTAGTCATTTCTGCACTAGACAGAACTGATCACAAACATGTCCTACTTTCCCATTTAGACCGCTGAGGCCTCCTCTGCTATCTTGCATTAATACACTTATCTGCTGAGAAAATCTGTCCTGCAGTAAATCCTGACAATCAATCCTATGTAACATCACGATGAGGCCTGTAGCTCGTGCTCCTTTAATTATGACCGTAGAGATTTTATGGAGAGATAGTACTGGATCTATCTTTTCAGTCTCTCATTGCTCTGGAGATCTCAGTGGATTACAGTTTACATCACATTACAGTCTTGTTGCTGAGACTGTTAATGAAGATCAAGGTGGAATTTTACAGCAGGAACCAGAGAGGTTCCTTACACCTGTGGTGTGGGAAACATGCTGGGAACATGCACCTTGACCTTTTTACCAGTTATTTGCTTGTTAGGAAGTGGTCTTGAAGTTTAAGCCTGTTTTTTATCATAGTATTTGTAGTAACTGTGCTGGATGATAGAAATGGTGTACTTGAACACAATTCAATGTCTCTTTCAGAAGATGTGAACATAAGATTCCAGTAACTGTGACAGAGGATGCCAGTGCCCCCACCCAGCCACCACCATGATAATGTGAACAGTATAATATGACTTCATACATTTTAGCATGAGCAGTCCCAAAAGGGATCAAAACTGAGATGCTATCGGGGGGAATAACATGTATGTAAGTCTCATGCTCAGGTTGAAATCTTCAGGTAAATTCAAATAACCAACACTGACTTCAGTAGATATTTCACCCCACAACATCAATGCTAAATTGTAATTGTAAAGTTCACCTCTAAATAAATACCACAAAAACCCAAGTAGAGTTCAGGCCAGGATCAGAGCACCTGTTTCCATGGTTAGTGTTAGTTTTGTATTTGTTGTTTGGGATGAAAGTCCAGGAGGCTTTGGAGCGGTGTGCCAAAGTGCCAAAGCATCCAAGACACTCACCCATGGCTGGTTGTAATCAGAAATAACAAAAATACACTCTGGGTGTTAAAAACACTAGAACGCTTTAATTATCAAAAACACAAATCCAGAGTCCTTTCATGTCACTTGCTGAATACACCAACCAACATGGACAAAAAAACAGCAATGTGAGTGGAAGAAGATTAGTAACCCACATACCAGCCTCTGGAAAAAGTCACTGACTTTCACCTTTGTGGTCGCAGGAACCTCCATCTCTGCTTTGTGCTCTGTTTTAGCTGTGGAAAGAAAGGGGAGGAAAACAAAGATGTCATTTAACTGTCGCCCTGTAGAGAGGCAGGCAGGGAGTTTGCAGTGTAAACATTACATCATCTGTACCTGGAAATAAATGTCACTTATCAGATCTGATTGCAGCAGGTGTGGTGCACAACACAGCAGTCTTTTTATGAACCGTTTCCACAGAGACAAACCTCACAAATCAATACGTTGGTCCTGCTCGACATTAGTGTCATTTGTGAAGTGTTTGTTGTGGTGACTCTACGGTTACTGAAGAGTTTCTATGTCAACCACAGAGAGAAAAGCTGTCACCTCAGTGACGCTTAATGGAGACTCAAATAAACTTAACAATCCTATCTGAGCTCTTTGTATTTACTAAAACAGGATATTTTCATTGATTGAGGTTCTGCCCTCTCCTAAAAACACTCACAGATGATGTCAGGTGCCTCAGTGTAGTCGGTGAATTCTTCCTCGTCATTTTCACTGTGCTTCTTGAGTGAGCGCTGGTGACTGGCTTTTAAAATGTCCTCCAGGATCTCCAGCTTGTTCAAGTGGTGGCACAAACCATAAATCCTCAGAGCCTCTTCATGACCCAGGATGGCCCGTCGAATGTGTGCTTTACCTGGGAGAGAGGGAGCAAAATTCACCATTAGAAGGATAAGAAGAGGGATAAAGCAGGGAAGGGAAGAGAACAAGAGAATAATGAGGCACTTACCAATGCGTTCACGTTCATCTTTCTTCTTCAGGATGTCCAGAGGACAGCGTCCCTCAGGAAGGCGATCATAGACCTGTGACAAGGTCTTCTCCTGCTTGTCCTCATCATCATTGGGACCCACTGTGCACACAGACAACACAAAGAATCAATGACAGAGAAACATTTTAAAAAATTTATAAGAAGAAAATCTTCTCCAATGCAGGACGGGGTTACCACTGAAACAACGGCTAACACTACACTCACACATTGCAAGGTATGACAGGACACCGTTTACCGATGAGTCAGTACACAGTAGTGATGAGCGAATCGGCTCTGATGTCACTGAAATCCGCATGTATGCATAAAACCAAACCAATTACTTTCCACGATTTAGAGACCCGCCCGCGATCACACATTACAATTACCCCTATGAGATATTACATTGGATGATATTATAACATATTACGCTGAAGCAGGCTGGTATTAAATTAAAAAAAACATGTTTTTAAAGTACAAGCTCTTTTTTGGTAAAATGAAAATGGCATCCGGTATTTCCACAACAGAAAATTTTAATTCTGAAAGTCATTGCTACTGCCTGAACACATTTCATTCATCACGTTAGAGAATGATATTCATATTTTCCTCGTACATTATATATTATTTCACCCATCCATAAACCAGCTGCTGTTAATTAGTATATTATAGTTAGTATGTGCCCGCGGATATATGGGCACATTGGCTGTAGCTGAATTTACAACATTTCATTTTTAAAATGTATAAATATGATATATACAATATACAGGAACTGTATATATCAACTGAAGTGTACCTGTTAGCATAGATTACCAGAGACAATCTACACTGATACTGATGGCTCTCTTCTAAGCTCAGACCTGGTTGTATTCCTCTAAACTGTCTCTCTCTCTTTCATACCCTGGCTCATCACACCTAACAGGTAAATCTAAAGCACCAGAGCTTTCTAGACTCTGACTAGTCTGCTTCCCAGAGATGGTATAAAGCGTTTATTTAGCAGTGTTTTTGGTTGATGTGTTTACTACAGCGGCCTTCATTCTGCCCTGTTTCTGGGCTGAGTCCTCTTTCTACAGTCCTGTGGTAATTGCTCTGTTCTCCTCATTCACACAGGAATCTGCTAATGAGCTGCCAAACTCAAAGCTGCTTTGCTCTGTTGTTCCCCTATTCAGTCTCGTCCCATTCTTAGCACTGGGTAAAACTATGACCATCCACTGTAAAGCTTCATATCATCTGCTGTATTTTGTTTAATTTGGTTTTCAGTTTAACCTCTCGTAAATTACAATTATAAACGAGTAATAACAAAGAAAAAGAATAAAAACATGAGCTCAACAACAGTCAAAATATTGATGCACAGCAGAAGGACATTTTGAGTTATAGATATAATAATAAGGCAGGAAATAACAAATTAATGTAGTGTTTCTTTTTTCAACTAAAGGATTGGTTGTGAACTATAAGATATCAAAAAATAATGACAAGACATCAAGAAATAAAGCAATATGATACAAACTTGGCAACCACAACTACCACCAATCACTGGAGGGTTTTTGTTCATTCACAAAACATCCTCTCTCTCTCACTTGGTAGCTGGCTCTCTCACTTGCTCTCTTTGCCATTTGATCATGTAGACAGCATTAAGAGGCTACATAACTGTAATCCTCCAGCAGTACTTCCACTTCACTGACTCTAACTGCCTCTCTTTTTCCCTCAAACTCTCTCTTGCTGTCTTTCTCTGACCGGAGTTCCTGGAAACACAGCCTCTCTTTACCGTGGGTTGTGTGTCTCTAAATAGCTGTTATGTAATAGCATTGTGGCTGGCTGTGGTTCAGACCAGCCATCTGACATGACCAACCCAGCGGCCTACACAGCACTTTAAGAGGGGGATCAGGTTTTCCAGGGTGTTCAAAATCAGGCGGCTGAAGCCAGAAGTGTTTTGCACCTCTACAGTCAACAGCCAGGCTAATGCCATAAAACAAATACATTACAGTAGGTATTCAGATGGTGTAGGGGTGGAGGATGACTGGAGTCACTAAAGCTATGCTGTTAAAGTTACTATGGTGGTACAGTGTTGTTGTTTTAAGAAAAAAGGGACAATGTTAGATCTGTGTTGACTTTGCTGCTAGTTACACTACCGAATATTATTAGACAACTTTGTGTTAAAGTTTGTGCATGAATAACACACCTGTCTCTATTTAACATGTAGGGCAGTGCTGTACCTGGTGCAGAGCACGCTCTATGCAAATTACTATGCATTGTACTGCTCTGACAGTTGTGCTTCCTAGAAACAGAAAAAATAACTTGCATGCTCATGTAATGTAGCTTGACTCTAGGATTACCAGCAGATATTAGCTGTATGGTGACATTATCATCAGCAAGTTAGCACTGCTAACTGTCCAAGTAAAAAAGCAACAGTCCACTTCAGTTTCTATTGTATTTAAGCATATGTTTTTCAGTTAGCTTAAATCTTTCATCTTACATCTTTTAAACACAGAATCTGTGTGAAAATGATCAACTTCTCTATAAACTGTTTTCCTTACGCTGGTGGTCGAGCAGGGCTGAGGCTACAAAGTAGTGCGCCATTGAGCGGTAGTGGTTGGTCTTGACTTGCGACATGGTGGACCAGAACAATGGGACATTGTCTTTGACTGGCGTCTGGATCATGGACTGGTGGACTTGGTCGTAGGTTTCTGAGACCTGGCGGGAAAAGGAAGCGAGAGAGAGTTACTGAGAGGACATTAAAAGCACTGATCAGGACAAAATCACTGATAGCAGTGAAGAGTCTGACTGTGATGACATTATCACTTTACATTCACTTTAAGCACAGTACTGACTCCACAGCAAAAGAAAGAACACTGTGCCTGTAAAATGTGAGGACTGTGTGAGTGCCTTTGTTGCTATGTACCTTTGAAGCCTCCTGGGCCATTTTCATCAGGGAGTAGAACTGGTTTGGAATCCCAGGCAATGCAGTCTTCTCAAACAGGCACTCCTGAGCCTGAGCAAGCATCATCCGAATCAACATACTGAGCATGGCTGGGCTCATGTCGTAGCTGGGAGTGTGGGTGAAGGTCTCCTTCAGGTGGTTCAGGACACCTGGGGGAGAATGAGTCATCAGTGTAGCTCAAACCCAAACTATTCCAGCTTAATAATATTCATATTTAACAATCATTTATTTCAGGTGGGAGGAAAACAAGGTTTCTTCATTTTGTCTATGCAGACTTTCTTAGCTTTAAACCATTTGGTCAGTATAAAAAACATAGGCCTATGAAAAACAAGCCCAGGATAATCTGCATCCTATTTAACTATGTGAGAACAAAAATAATTTGATTATTGTATATTGCACACTCATACTTTGAGACCTGCAGGGGATTAAATCTCTTTTCTCTTTCCTATCTCCACAACAAAGTTAGGGTCAGCTACATAACAAGAGGCCACGTAATCCAAACAGATAATCCAGGCAGGATCTGTCACTTTGGATTTTGGTCTCATGTGTGAAGAGTATTCATGCATCCTGTACAGCCAAACTTATGAAATGTACAGTAGATCCCCAACATTCAACAAGTTACTCTAATAGTAACTTGTAGTAGTTAGTGCTACAATTAGTCTGATAGAAGAACAATATGAATTTTGTGGATTTTCTGTTATTTCTGTCTATTTGGAAAATGCTTATTCACCAAATGACAGATTGGGCTCTTCAGCATTCTGGTGCATTAACCCTGATTATTGACACTGTATAGAGAGGTTTTAAAAATGCTCCACAGAAGTTAAGTGCTTCAGTATGTCAGATCATCTTGGTCTGATGCTGTTACTACAGAGTTCAGTAAGGGAGAAAAGCTCCCTGCAAGCAGTGAGATCAATGTCTGTGTGTTTCTTTAAAATTTAGCCAAGACACAAAGCTTCTCAAATTAGTTTTTCATGTTTAATGGAAGCAATAAGACCATCTGCATTCCAAATGAGAGTGCCTCCCTCTTATTTTATAGATTAAAAACCTGGCAGCACAGAGTTGTAGACAACTTAATAACAGAGCACTGCCCCACAAGTCTTCATCTAAGACTCTGTGATAGCTGGCTGGCCCCTCCAATCCTCTAAACCTCTGTGTCCCTGGCTAAAGGGCACTGCAGCAGCCCTGCAACAGCTAGCATCCCTGTCTCTCACCTCCCTGCTTACTTTACTACTGGCTCGTCATACTAGTGACAATGTTCCCTCCTAACAGCATAATTGTTTTACTTAGTTCAAGCCAAAATTATAGCCATCAAAGCAATAGAACCAAACCCCTGGCCTGTTCAGAACTGTAATTATACTGCAATACTCCTCGTACTGCCAAGTCATAATTCTATCAAGACTTGTCTGAGCTTCCTGAAACCTCGGAGGGTTGGGAAACCAGTTCATGTGATTGGTACTTTCTGGAGCTCAGCCACATGACAAGAGAGCCAGAGAAACATCGACTGCACTCGTTCTCCGTCATGGAGCAGAAGTCAGAGGGCGGAGGCTGGCACATATTTTGAAAATAAGGCAGCGTTCGCACTGGTACACTTTTACTGAACAGCATGAGCCTTTTTAATGTTAAGCTCATTAGAAAATGTCTGCAAGGAGAAAAGAACGTTGCCTGGTGATTGCTGGGTTAGGGTTAGGGTTACAGTGATGAGCTGATTTACATGTCAAATGTTTAAACAAAGCTATAAAGATGACGTGTTAACGCAACTGTTCATCATCTGTACATGTGTCTCCTTTCTCTAGTCCAACAGTTTCTGTCAATGGGAGCACTTCAGAATTTCAAGTACTGCTACCTCTTTTGTTTGTGTCACTGAACCCAGATATCGCATGGGATCACACATAAGTCCGGTTTTAGGAAATAAAGAAATTTATGTTTGACGTCTTTGACTGTTTGAAATGACTCTATACGATCCTTTCTAGGCTGCTGACAGAGGAGTTATCAGAGTTTACCACTCCTCCTATCTCTTCTTACCTGCAGCTTTCTGGAAGGAGGAGATAGCCTCCTCCAGGCCGACTATTGTCTGTCTGTCACTACGGGTTCCAATCTGAGAGTAGAGGGCAGCCATGTTGAAGAGGATGCTGGCCTTCTCCAGTGACAGGTTCTGTTGGCACACCGGCACGCCTGTGAAGGAGTCATACCTGCGGGAGGGAGGAGGGAGCTGTCATTCATCACAACAATCACAAAATGCCTTATAGAAAATAAAACTAAGTAAAAGCTAAGAAGATAAATAATGTAAAAGATGCAACCAGTAATATAGAATATTATATTTGGAGTTGAAAAATATGTTCAGTTGGAATTAAGCAGGTAAATACAGCAAGAATAAAACCCTGTTTGCTAAAATTAAGAACTTTACATACAGTAACATTTATACATATTACATGTTCTGTATTTACACATTTCTAATTCGAATCGTCTCTGATTTGAAACCATCTTTAGCCCTCTCTTCTCTCCTTCACATCTAAAGGTTGTGAGGGTTTAAACCTTTAAGCTCATCTTCTCCCTCTTCGCGATCTGTGCTGAATGAATGAAGTGCATTTAGCATGAAGTCAGTGGGTGTCAGAGCTTCACTTGGCTGCTTTTTAGACTCTTTCTTTTGTTTCGATGGATGTCACACAATTTCTTCCAAATGAATGAACATAAACAAAAAAAAAAAAAACAACACATAAATTTGCCCCCAAAAACTGCATTAACCTGATGACGATAACATACAAGGAGCTAAAAAGAATTTGTGTGTACTTCATTCAGACCAACTTTGTTTATTCTTAGATTTTAAATATTGAAAAACACACATTATTATTATTATTATTGTTTAAGTTATGGCTGCCTGTATGTATGTTTTTGCTCTTTTCTCTCAAGATATACTAATTGATCCATGGATTTATGGATGTAACTAAAAATGTAGTGGCTCACAGCAGCGGCAGGTTTGTTTATAATGTTGTTTGCTTATTTCCTGCTGAAGTTCATTTTGATAATTGCTCTTATTATCATTATTATTACATCAGAGTTTTTAATTTGTTCTAATTATTATAAGTCGTGAGTACCAGGTGAAGAAAATGCCAGTCTGGCGATTTGGGGCGAAGAATCGGCTCTCCATCAGAGGAAGATGGCTGTAGTATTTTGCAAACAGCTCCACTCCAGCTTCGCTCCGACTTGGGGTTCGACAAGCCTACGACATGAAAGGAAAGAGATGTGACACGGTCCTCTCTAATGGACTACTAGTGGATAAGATGTTAAACAGAAGCCCAATTAAAGAATAAGTTCACCCAAATCATCACAAAACGTTTTTACCTAGCTATCTGGATATATTTACTTTTATTTTCTAAGGTTTTCAGATACAAATACAACAGAGGTGGGTTTTTTTGTTTTGGTTTGTGGTGCTCAAAGCATCGAAAATTTACATTTGAAAAATGATTCAAAAGACAAAATCCACAAAATCTGTTGGCAGCAAGGTCTGTGGAGAATCCACAGAAAGGTGGACATTAATTCTGGAAAGGTGCTTTACTGTTTTTCAGATGTTTTCAGAACCACACACTATAAAACAAAATTCCATTCATCTTCACTGTATTTGGGTGGTGGCAGAAATACCAGAGACAATTATCTCAGTACTTCAGAGAATGAAACCAAAACTATCTGCATGGTTACTAATATGTTTCATACTTTGTGTGGTATAAACTTTTATGAATGTTCCTAAACAAATGAAGGACCACTAGTGCAAAGATATCACATCAGAAAAGATGAACATATAACGTCGGATCAGAATGTAAGTGTACGTTACCTGTCGCAGGTCCATCAGGTCAGCAATCTCATCTTCAAAACTGTTTCCATCTTCACTGTAGTGCTCCAAGATGAAGTCCTGTCAACAACAAACAACTCCATCTCAATCATCTCTACATCATATTGTCTGGCCAGTTGTTTGGGAGTGTTCCGGGGCTTAAACCTGTGACCTTTCAGTTACAGGACGGCCTCTTGCACAACTCCTCCTCTCTGTCACATCATGTCTGAACTGTACACAGAAGTCCAACTGTGCAGTGCCAAGTAGGCTGGTGAGAGCTGCGGCTCTGTGAGAGCCAGCCAGAGGCAGGCGACACCTGGTCATTAAGACTGAGGTGTGATTACAGTCGATAAATAGAGCAGAATTAACATGCTCAGAGATCATGAAGTCAGAACACCTCTCACGGTGCCTGCCAACACACCAGCACAGGATGCAACAAATGCTATAAAAGTGCCATCAGGACATTTACGAGAGTGCTTCCCTGCACTGAAGCATCGCTACATCATAACTTACCAGTCTCAATAACCACTGACCCACTTTTGGCATCTTTTTATAGGCAGATCATGTTCCTGAATAAATGGTGAACAGACAATGTGACCCAAATCCTTCTTAAAGGAAACTTTAATTATGAAATTCTCACAGCAAACACCTTGTGTACATAACGCTTGCATGACATTAAATGGAAAATTTACTTGTACAAATGTTTATACACATTTTCATAATAAGGAGAGTGGTGAAACTGCATTACCTTGAATGGAGTCGAGAAGTTAATTTCTTTTGTCTCCTTCAGACCCAGAGCGATGAGGGGGATGTTGGCTGTTTCACTGCACACAAAACAGAAGAACAGACATATCATGACCAGTCAGTTTATCGTCATTAATATATATGTACATGAGGTTTTTGATTCGTTTTTTGACAATAAGGACAATAACACTGACAAAATGTGTGACCTTACATACAAAAGGACAATACATTTCTTATCTGATTCACAAACAATTAATGTACGCAATGTAAACTCACACATGCATTAATCTCTAAGGCGTGGCGCAAGATATCAACCAACTCCCTTTGATGACAGACCAAGCCTTGTTAGGGACACCGTGTTGACAGCACAGTCAGATTAGTGAATAATAAGGTGTACATTGCTAACTAACAGCCTGATCAACAGCTTTGTTCCTTCAGAAAGTTTACATTTTCCTTTAATCCTCAGTGTAGTTTCAAAGACGGTAAATCTGGATTAAGCAGATGGTGCTGTTAGAGCAAAGCACAGCACACACTGCAGGAGTTAGGATTTAAAAGGTGAATGGGGCCCCCACGTCTCCCTGTGTTGTAAAGCCACACAGCTCTCTGTTGATTAATCATTGTGGAGTTGTAGCCTTGCTTCAGTAATGCAAACGATTCTTTCTCTCCTCTGCACTGAAAACTGGCTTTTATCTTCTAATATTTTAGCTCAGCAAACAATAAACAGAGGGTGCCATAAAACACAGGCTTAACCTTTTATTTTGGTTTGGAGTTTCTCTTGTTGTATGACCTAGAGGCCCTTGTTGCTGACAGATGGAAAGCAGGTTCAGCTTGTTATCGGAGTTGAGGAAATATAACCTGATAGATACGTGCTGCTGATCAGACAGAGTCTATAAAAACAAAACCCCTGCTGACGGAAGAACAATGAGGCGTTACTAAATAAACTGCGCTTTTTAAAAACATGAGAGGGTTGCTTCTGGATTTGCTTGACATTTAAGTTATTCCACACAAAACTACCTCCAATGAGACTTCAAACTTCAGCTCCAAAATAACCAACATTAACAAGAATTCATTGATGATTTAATCCCAAATGTCTACTATAATCATGACTCTTTCCATCAAAGAGATCAAAGATGAAGAACAAACTTTTCTCTGCATCAAAACCAGAGGGTTCAGAAAACAACTCCTCACACTCATTCATCACTTGATGATAAGGCGGCATTCCTCTGGCATACTGGCTCTGTGAATCACAGAAAACCTCATTCATCAGTAACAACTGACAGAGCACGATAGAGGCTGCAGTGTAATCCATTAGTGCTTGTAGATGAGATCACTCTGGTCTTTTCTCTGGTTTGATAGAGGGAGGGGGAGAGGGGCATGGGGGATGAGGATATCTGTTCTGCAGGGAATCTGAAATGTTAAAAGCCTCTCAGATGCTCACTCCCCACACACACACACACACACACACAGTGTACCAGTGTGCGAGACGTGGAACAGACTATTACCCTGGCAGTCTAGTTGAAACTCTGCTTCACAATGAAAAGCAGCACAGATTCAATTGTTGACAACATATAAAATGTGTTAAGTCACAATCTGACCATTTATAGTGAACATAAATTTGTTTTCTTACAAGAAACCAGCTGTCACAGGTGATGTCTAAAGTAATCTCAGATAATAGTGCAAATTATTCTCCTGTAGCAGAGTTAATAAAAGCTGCCTGTGGCACTGATGTCTTTATCTTACTCTTTTCATTTGTCATCAGTTCATTTGTGCTGATTCAATGGGGGTTTAAGAAAGTTCAGTTTGTTGTCCAGGTCGAGAACATTACAACAGGGAACTGAACAAATTTACTGCCTCACAAATCACAGAACAAGTAGCATTCTGGCTCTGTGCGAGACACAGAATGAATATTACACTCAGGAATGTACAGTATGTATTAAACATTATGTTTAACATGTTTGATGAGATTGGCAAGAATAGATACACAAGCTGCTATATTTTCATTAGGTGGTTGAACGAGGTCACTGACTTCATGTGCAGCATGTGCACCACACCAGTTACCTATACTGTATGTGCTTCGTGTTTTGCATTGCGTCATGCCAAAACCAGCTGGATCTGGTCTGAGAAATAACCTCAGAAAGACGCTATTCAGAGGACGGTGGACTGATGGGAAAAGCCTAGAAAAGTGAGGAGAGGTTTTTTGTTTCCGTAACTAAGACTGAGGTTGTGTTTCAGGCTGAAAGGAGGAGGCTAGCTCTCCTTTGTGGCTGTACAGCGTCATCCCACTGAGACGCCTGCTCAGAAGTGACAGGAGGAGACTTTCTCAACATATCTGATATTCCCACGTGCATGTTACCTGTACACCTGCATGCATGGCCTTTTGTTTGTCTGATGGTGTGAAAATAATGACGTGAAACCTTTGGACTTTGCACGTGTTTAATTTCTTTTTTTACACAGACACAATGGAGTAGAACTGATGATGGTTTCTCAGCAGGGCTATTGTCTTTGCATGAAGCAGTGAGCAGGTGCTCCTCTAAGAGCCTGATGACGAAGCTGATGGGAGGCTGACTGTTCCCACACTTGAGTCTGTTTGATCCCATGTGACAGGACACTTGGGCTTAAGGTTTATACAGAAGAGCAGCTGTTTAAGTTCGAGGATGCTGCTATCACATAATTAGTAAACTTAATGTCTTTTTCTTAGTGGACGATATGTTTTATCTAAGTCCAGAAAGAGGAGGTTGTTTCTTGTTTCTTTCCGCAGTGCAACAAACCCCTTCACAGCTGACACACTGTGTCAGTGTCTGTGGGTAACAATATCAGCCATATCATTAAATGGAACACAAAATACAATCTGGAAAATATATTTGCTTTGCAGGATTCCTGAGGGTTGAAATTCATCTTCTTATACAGGGAGTCCAGTCTGCCTGCAACCCCAGACAGGCAACCTGATTTATTAAAACCAGGTTAAATCCCTCTGGTCCTCGCTGCACTGAGACTTTGTAAGCCAAACAAACTAATCTGGCCTCCTTGTAGCGCCAACAAAAGATGGCATTTTGGATTTTATAAGGTCACTTTCAGATTTATGTCAAACTTTAACACAAAACTTGGTCTGCAGCTCAATACAAAATACAGTACATACTAATGTTTTTACAATGACTGCCTGAGAGCAGCAGCTTGATACTTTGTGAACCATGTAAGATTTCTGTCAATGACCCTCAGGACCATTTCCATAGTTACCACCACACAACACCCCCATCCCCCACAAATCTCCATAATGCCTCTATCCTCCTAATCATTCTATTGCTCTGTTGTGATGGGTTGTCATGGGTAACATGGCATCTTCGTTTGTGTATGCATGGTAATGTGTACAGGTATCACACATGTATTTGTGGTTATATATGTGTATATGCATTTTGTTATTGTCTGACTGAATATGTAGAGTAGGTTTAGTGTGTTTAGCATATGTATAGTGTGTGTGTGTGTGTGTGTGTGTGTGTGTGTATGTGTGTGTGTGTGTGTGTGTGTGTGTGTGTATGTGTGTGTGTGTGTGTGTGTGTGTGTGTGTATGTGTGTGTGTGTGTGTGTGTGTGTGTGTGTCCGGGCAGATGGCTGATAGAGGAAGTGTTCTTAATAAGAGGAGCCAGGTGGAGGCAGGCATCATTCAATCAAAGAGCCTTTAAATCATTGTAATTCTCTATCCGAAGACTTTTATTTTGAACATGTTACACATTCAAAATGGAAAACTTCTGTTTATCATTTAATATCTATGAAATCTAAATCTAAACCAAGTGCTCTCCTTTCCAAAAGCATATAGGTACTGTAGCTTATATGTTTATTTTGTCATTGGGTGACATGTTATCATGAGATAAAACAGAGAGACAACAATTCCCAAAGGATATCCGTCATCACTTTTATAAACATCTGTATTTCTGTATCAGTCATCAAGTCCTTAGTGTCGTACTTGACACGTGACTGTGTGCATCCCCCATGACATACATACTACATTGTCAACCACACCCTATACACCTGACTTGTCTTTAAAGAGAGAAAACACCTGAACCTATTACTGTCACACACACACCCGATCATCAGACTGTGTGAGAGAAGCCTTGTACTAGTTGTTTATCTTATACAAATTCAGCTCATCGTTTCCTTGTTGCTCTGTGCATTGTGTCTGAAAAACCAGCTGCTCCAGTTTAACAATAACAAACTCTTGCACTTCGTCTTTCATGTGTGTCTGTCTATTTCTTTCTCCATGCACCTCTTTTCTCTGCTCCTCTGTCATCAAGCATCTTTCATGATAACTTAATCACAGACTGTCAGAGCCATCAGTCTTTTGTTGGCTGCCAATTAACACTGTGTGTCTGTGCTCCTCTCCCTCTTATTTACATACTGACCGGACTTTGACCAGTTGTCACGTGTGCAGGAAATCAAAAATAGGGTCAGATCTAGTTCAAGATTAAGATTAGAGTTATACAGTTTTTTGGGTCAGTGGCGACACTGCTGGTGCCACAATCCTTTGTGTCTACAGCAGAAAGCTCTGGCTGCTGTGTGTGCACCTCAAGTTACAACACCCTCATCACAGGCAGTTAGCCTTATGGTACACCTTTAATTAATCTGAAAGATTATAGGTAATTATATTCAATTGCCTGCAGATACATTGCTTCTGACAACAAAACCACAGTCTTTTTCATTCATGAAATCAACTGTAAACCAACAGTGTAAAATGTTAGCAGTGCAGCTAAAAAACAAACAAACTAACTAAAATAAGTTGCAGTCTCACAAGATCTTACTTTTTTTTTTATCTTATCTTAGATTTTAAAGGTTCCATATCGTATTAAGTGAGATTTCCATGTGTTGTTTGATCATAAAGCAGCTCTAGGTTCTATATTAATACTGTGAAAGTATCAAAGTGCTCAGTCCACAGAGAAATGCACACATCCAGGGACTGAGTCTTAAATCCAGCCGTCAAGACTTCTGTAACTTTGTGATGTCACAACAAAGCAGTCACCACTTTCAGTCATGTCCCAAGCCCTGCCCACCTGGACCCACCATCCAACCTTACAGGATTTGGTTTCTCTGAGTGTTTACCTGAAATCTGCTCTATTTTTATCAGAAGAGAGGCTCGGAGCCTCCTCTCTTGTGATTGGCTCACTGACCTGTTGTTACTAGAGCTCCAGAGAGAAGCCTGAGAGAAAAGATGTAAATCTACATTGAGATGGTTTTTGGCTCTTAAAACCTTAAATATAAAGTGTAAAATATGGGACCTTTATGGATGAACTTACAATTAGCAACATCTTGCATTAGCAGCGGTATAAGTGGTAGAATCAGTAGCAGTGAAAGGAGAAACAGTGACATATGCACTTACTGTGTGTTCTGATAGACCTCCACTGAGCTGTTGAGTCCTTCCAGCTGTCCCATCAGGAGCTGCAGGTTGGCATTGACATAACTCAACTCCAACAGAACCATCTCTTTAACCTTGTTGTTAGATGTAGCCCTGCACACAGGAGAGATGGAGAGAAACAACAAAAAAAACATAAAGAGAGGGTGGAAGAAAAGAAAAGAAATATCAGCCTTGTTATTATCCACTCTGACAGAGCCAAACTTTCCTGCAGCTGATTATTAAAACGAGCGTGCCTCCCCTGGTATTCTAGACCACAGACCTGCGTCACTGTGCCGTGCTGTGCACTTGATTTACTCTCCAGCACACAACCAAGAGCTATGAATCACAGCTGTAATCCCTGTGTAGCTAAACAGCTCTTTCCCATGGTAAAAATCACTGTTTCAAAAAAAAATCCACCATTGCATGACAAATTTTATATGATCTCACACTGTATGTGCCACTACACAGAGAGGGGCCCATGTCACGGCAGAGATCACAAGTCACGCATTTAACCACAACCCTGCTGCATGTAGGTATTGTTCAAGGGCACATTAGCATGGCGTGTGCTTGAATCTGGGTAGTGTGGCTTAGGAATAGTTTCTTTAAACATCAGACCTCCCTGCTGTTCAAGTGAAATCATGCCGAGTGTGTGTGCTGGAAGTTGAGTAAACCAAATTACAAATTTTGCAAAAAAAACAACCTCCCTTTAGATTTCCACTAGTGATTTATTTCCATGTGATCCTTTTTTTTTCTATAACAATTTCACATCATTTCTGAATATTTCTGAAAACAAAAACATTCATTGTGTGCAGTATATACACGTGTGTGTGTGTGTGTGTGTGTGTGTCTATAAGGAGAAAAATTGAAAAAAGGATTAGGATTCACTGCACAGCAGAGATAAAGCTGTAATGATACCACCAAGTGGTGTGTGTCATTGTGTCTTTGTGTTAGCATACATAGAAAAAAACTGTCTGGATCCGTTGTAAAGCAGAATTTATGACACATTGTCATGGTGTCCATGGTAATACAAGGTAACACACATGCACACACACCCCAGCAGTTTCAATATATCCTTATCTGTGTCCTACAGTGAATCCTAACACACTCTCTGTCAGTAGTAACTAATGAGACATAACCCACACGTACACAACCCTGCTCCAAACCTGTCAGTCTGGAGCTGATTCACTGTTGTCAATCAGAGCCTGTCTCTTTGTAACCTCACCGCTCTCTAACCTGTAATTACCCTGTAATCACAGAGGATGTGATTCTTACCACGAAAGGTGAGATGTAAAGAAGCACTAGCAAAAAAAAAAAAATCAGTTCAGCTGAAGGTTACAGAACAAAAAATCAAATAAACCAGGTCTTAAAAAACAGTCAATACCACTGTGTTTCAGGAGAGAAACGCCATTCAAAAATCAAATGGTTTAATAATAATATAAACTTTTTATGAATCATTGGAGGAAATATTAGTAATAATGTATTGTTTCCTGCTAAGAAAAACAACACATACACAGGGAACATAACAGGGTCAACCTCTTCTTAACATTGACACCACACCATCACTTCCCTTTGGCCCGCTGAAGGGTTTCTGAGGAGGTCTGGTCTGGGGAATCCATCATGGTGAAGGAGGTAGAGGTGTTGTGGTTTGGACTGAATGTATGCCAGCTTGCTGGCCCAGAGGTTATTATTAATATCCTATTTAATATCATGCTGCGGTGCATGAGAATCGGACTGTAAACCAGGAAATGTGGTTTCAGTGAAGTTTTCTTCTTCTCCGAAAACACTGATTCTCTGTTTTTCGCAGACTGACAGTTTGTTGTATTTTTCCTCGAGGCCTTAAACGAGATATCAGGTATTGATTGGAGTTTGATAACTGACAGAGTTTATTACTCTCCATTATATAAAACTGTTAAGAACTAATCAACGTCTGTGCCAAACAATTGTATATTGTCTTCTGTGGCTCTGGCAGAGCTTTCTAGTTTGAAAAACTAACAAGAAGAGAAGAGAACTGGTCTGACCAGACTGACTCCACCTGTTGCTGATAGAGAGAGGAATGCAGGACAAGAGAGGAGAGGCAAAAGGAAGGCAGGGGATAACACACGCACACACTTTCTTAATAGGTTCTTTTGATTTGATTTGAGAATCCAGAATCATGACATGAGTACAACATGACAAACCAGGTGGATGTCAAAGGTACAGTAGCCATGACAACCCCTGTGCCCATCCCAACAGACACTGACACACACAAGTGGGAGAGCACAGGTAGAACTACAGTCAGACTTCATGTGATTTAAGGCCTTAAAAATAAATCTGAGGGGGTGAACTTGAAGCTCAGAAATGCACGCAGGCTGTTGTCTGGGCTGCAGCTGGGCTGGCAAAAACACACACTCACTCACAGACACACACCATTTGCCCCTGGACTTGGCTGGGCAGACTTTGTGAAGTACTGAAGGAATGTGGAGGCTTCTGAGGCAGTAGGCTTAGATAGGCCTAACAGGCACGCAGGCACACACACGCGCACACACACACACACACACACACAGTGGTATCCTCCCTCACCAGACTAATCTTTACACAAATGTTAAGAGAGATAATCCAGGAATCCCAGTGGGAGAAGTTGAGGCGACTGTCAGAGGAAAGTTGTACCTACTTTTGAATCTCTTGTTTCTTTACACAGGAAGCTTCCGCCTCAGAGACAAACACACTTCAGCTCACTTGACTTCTCTCGCTTTTTTCTCCCTTCAAACAGAGAGGTTTGCATGGCACATACAGTACGTCCTGAGCAACACATCCAGAGGGATACAGCCGGGAGGTCTGTGTGTCGACTCTCCTCAGTCACTGAACCTCGATCTCTAAGCTTATTGAAGCATGATGCATCAAGGAGAAAGGCAATGAGCAGTACAAATGTTAACAAGTAAACTGGTGTAATGGCAAACCGAATCTGACAGCCGCTCCAGACAGGACGTTTTAGCCCAAATAGACTCTTATGACAATAGACTATAGGTGACGGAGACACCAATGGAACCTGGTGGCTACATTTTACAGTGTCCCACCCTCACACCCTGCGCGCTGTTATTGGCTGGGGGCTCCACACCCACTGCCCAAAGGTTTCAGCCCAGAAATGTCCTGAACACAACAAAAATAAAAAAACATGGCCTCATACTACACAGAGACCTCATGACCTAATGATGAAGCAAAAACACCTAAAGAAGTAAAAATTCTCTCACACTATTTTTGTCTCACCAGGAGGCCAGTAGCTGACAGACTGGTTTTTGTTCCAGTGTGGCAGGTTCTGGTGGTGATGCAGTTAAAACAGTGAAGAGTGTGCTCTTAGATCCTTAGAAAGTTACAACAGAGCGATCTTCAGAAATTCACTCCTCAAATACGACGGTCTTACATCTCAGTTTCCGTCAAACACTTGAAAGCAAACCAACTACAGTTAACAAAGGCCATCGCAGACCCTTGGTGGAGACATGTAGCATTAACCTTTATGCCACATGATGAATGAGGCAATAACAACTGAGGTTGATCAGGCTGATATTTCTGAAAGTCAATTCTTATCTATATTTCATTCTTTTCTTTTCTTCTTTCAATCAAAGATGAGACTTTTGTTCTGGAGGCTACAGAAGAGAAAAACAACAAAGTAAAAGAGAAAGAGTTTAATGCCTGTACACAACCGCAACATTAAATGTGTTTATAACTTGGGTTTACAATATATCAGTGAAACTAAATGTTATGTTTCAGAGGGTCAGTTCAATGCTAGTATAAAAATTAACCCACATATAGTCCACTTATAAAATGATGACTGGTTTAAAAACAACATTCTCGACAAGTGAGTAGAAAAATGCAGAAAGCTACGTTCAAAAAAATAGCTTTTTGTGAGGAGAAGCCCCCAACCAGACCAAACAAAAAGCATAAGGTTGCAAAGGTTATGAGAGGACAGTAAAGTCACTCATATCTCTCTGTTACACTATAGAAGGCAATCTCAACTTCTGCCATTCAATCCAACTAGAACAGGTATGTCAGCAGGAAGAAGAAATTTCTCTGTTTATTTTTAAAATCTCAGAGAGCAGACACATCTTCCTCCACACTAAATCCACCTGTTACCTCTTCAGCCACATGATAAAACAACCGAAACTTTTCTTAGTCGCAGAGGAAAAAGTCTTGTCTGGAGATGTAGTTTTTTTTACAAACCCAGGGGAGAACAAATGCAAAATTACAAAAAGCAGTCAAATCCTATCAGAGGTCCTGAGTGGAAGCTTCACATTTTTGCAACCTGTAATCAAAATACAAAGGCTCTGTGAAATATTGACAGTGGCTCTTTGGGTACATGAAATCCTCCTCTTCATGATTATTATTACTTAATATCATCTGCCACCTTTGATTGTTTTTGGTCTTGCTGAGATTTCATGGCAACTCACGACACAACCGTGACGGAAGTGAAGCCAAAGGGACAAGCTACAGTTTACTACAGGTCACATAAACTACTGTGACCTCACTGACAAATAATACAGGTAATATGACTGACACATGAATCAATGATGTGAGCAGTTGGTTTTCCCTTATGTAACAATTGTAAAGGCATTTCTGTGCCTGTGTGTGTTTTTGTTTGAGGTCTTTGTTCTTTGTATGTTTTAGGATGATTCAATCTTCGCACTAAAAAAACAAAGGCAGACACTCAAAAATACAGTGTGTATGTATGTATGTATGTATGTATGTATGTATGTATTATCAGTCATCACTTCTGTTCTTACTTCAGCAGGTTCTCAGCTCCGGCCCTCATCCTCATCTCTTTGATGATCTGCTGGTTCAGACTGGCTCGCTTGTTCTGCAGTTTGCTTCGTCCAGTCTGGGCGAACGGGTTACAACCCTGAGACAAGGAGATACAGGAACAATCATGTCAGTAAAAAATAATAACTTATTAAAATGTGAGTGAAATAAACAATGGGCTCATCTAGAAAAACTCATCATCATTTTTACATCTCCATCATGTCATTCAAACCATGTTTTGTATATTTATTTATTTATTTATAGCAAGTCAGTCCCAAGAAATTCTCTTCCATGAGTAATACTACAATCTACTGAACATGTCTTGAGTTTTTGTTTTGATTTTTACTTTATCTTTGCTCCCTGATATAACAGTAAAAATAAATCTATGCTGGGTGTGGGAAGAGCTGCACCTTGCCTACAGTATGCAGCTGAAACGCATGCTCTCACTCAGTGTGTTTACACATACTGGCCTGTGTAGGGCTGGACTGTGTGTCCTTGTCCCTATCACAACCACAAGTGTCCCAGCCTTCCTAAGTCAACAGGCTGTTGCTCATACTAGCACAGATAAACTGGCCACAGACATTCATACTGGCTGACTAACAGCAGAGCAGAGGTGTGGTCTGCACTGTACTCTGGATGGCAACACAACAACAAGATGCACTGAGACCTGTCAGCTCAGTAAAACCAGTTAGTTTACTGTCCTCAGCATGGAATGCTTTTACATTCTCATTATTTATCTGACTAAATCTGATGTCAGCAGAAGAATGGGCTTCGGTTTCTGCTTACTAACATCAAGGTAAAGAGTCAGAGGTCACAGCACTCAGTCAACACATGACACAGAACCAAAGAGAAAATATGTCAGTGTAGTTATATGTTCATTTCTCATATGTTTTTTTTATTTCAAAGTACAAATTGACCTTTTTCTGCCCTTGAGGTCAGAGTTAGAGTCACATCAGCTACAGGGAGGATGTAGACTCTGACTCATGCTCAGCAGATCAGACAAACAGCCTGACTCAAATTCACAAAAACCTTCAGATTTCAGAGCGGAGAGGATACATTTTCAGTTTCAATGACTGAACAAAGAAGAAAAAAAACTGAAAGAAAAAAAAGGGCGTCCAAGTTTGGACACACTGATGAGAAGACAAGTACTAAAACACCAAAGATGGACACTAAGATTTTTGTTACAAAACACAAAGCATCCTAAACAATGGATATGTGAGAAAAAAAAATCTAATTTTTCCCACCAGCTATCACATCTTCATTTTTTGTATTTTACATCATCTCCCAAATTTCCAATACCCTTTTCTCCTGCACCGCGGTCAAATTTGTTTCTAACGCCACTGCTCAAAGTGGAGAGGTCGTGGACAGCCACCTGGGTCCTCCCATACATGTGGTGTCACACAGGTGGTCCACACAATCCCTCTGCTGATCCCCACTTCACCTGCTGCAGCAAGGATGTAATCCCTCACTGGCGTGTTACATATAAATACCACACTGATTCCCTTCATTGAGTTAATCGTAAAATCCATGGTGAGTGAACAAATATTTTTTAATTTTGGCTCAGGTTCGCTCCTCACATGGCAGATAATTACAGATCACGTACACCCACATATACATATAGACATATAGACATTTTTTTGTGACAGTATAATGCACTCCATAGCCACTCCGCTATCATAACTTGGGTGTTCCCGTACAAACACTTCAGTGACCTGATAGTGTAATGATTAACTATATATACAAACGAGAGCCTCGTTAATTACACAATAGAGCTGTAATGAGGCTACAGTGGGCGTGGCACTGCCAGCCGTACCAGGAGCTATTCTTGGAATGACGGCAGGGTGAGGACATTAGCGCGCAAAACACAAGAGGGCGTGGACTTATTACAGTACATCATCACGTCAATTATTACATCAAAAATTAGGTGTGTGTGTGTGTTAAAGAACAAGGGAGTGGCTAATGATTGACAGTAACCATAACAGTATGTTTCCATTTTTGATATGTAGGAAACTTCAACACATGCGTTCCAAAGCAATGACCCTGATCCTGTGTAGTAATCCTTATTTAATAATTTAATGTCTCATCATTAGGACCTACTTTTAATCCACAAACCTGCTGTTCTGATATCACACTTTTTGATTTATACTTATGAATTAATTAGGACTTTTGTGCTTTGTTATGTTTGTCATTTGATACTGTTGTACAGTTTGTTCTTTCAGTCTGCAGCTTTTTGCTTGTCTAGAAGTTTGTCCTTAATCTTTGTAGAATTAAACTGGTTCAATTTAACTCAGAACTGAAACCCTAAACATGGCAACTACCCCTGCTAATGCCTTGCCTAACCCACTGAACCACTCAGGGAATTGAACCCCTCATGCACATTGGCATGTTCAAACAGTGCACCCTTTCTCTAAGAGCATGCAAAACACTTCATTAGAGCAAAACACAAAGACAGTCCAGTCCCATTATCATATCCATTAAACAGCAAATATTCTTGCTGTTGTATAACGCTTCATAAAGAACATGTGGAGCAATGGCTCATGGGATAGCTGGTTCATACAAGTGGTGATTAAGACTGGCAGCCAGCCAGGGTTAGAGGCTTCAGCCACGACCCAGTTACGACATCATGACGGACTCACAACTGCCTGTTGGCCCTATAAATACACAAGAGTGTGTTCAGTATCTCTATATCCACACCTCTTTATGATGATAAGCTGAATCATGCATGCTCCCCAATTACAATTACAGCAGGGACCCTTTGACAGATTGCTCATTCAATCCAAAGAAAGACATCTTTATATTCAGTGAACTACTGTAAGAGACAATATTTGATCACAGCTGCATCTCTTATTTTCCTTTTTCCAACACAAACCCCGCTGAGGGAATCTAAGTGTGTCTCCAAGTCAAGGGAGCTTGTCTGGTTTGTGAACCGGGACACATGTTGTCAATTTGCGGCTGTTGTCAAGCTGGAGGACGGCCTCAGGCCAGATGGTACGTCAATGCTCTCACTGGCCGAGGAGGATAAGGAGAAAAAAACATGCCGATTCGGCTTTTTGTTCTGCCATGTTTCCATCCTGCAGTTCCTCCAGTCGGAGCTCAGCCAGCTGGAGGTGAAACAGTGGACGGCTGGGAAGGAAGCCCTGAACCACAACAGCACCCCCGAGCATCAGTCGAACCCAGCGAAGCCTTGTAAATCATTAAACTCATTTTCACCCAGGAGAAAGCAGGGCACAAAAAATGGAAGCAAAGATCGTCTTGGCTCCACTTGGTTAAAATTTGACCAAAAACTTTCCAAATTGCAAATCTCTTTAACATGACACAATGAGAAGCAGAACTCATTGCTTTGTGGTTTCAGTGAATGTGCAGGCCTTTTTATACTGAGAAGGTTCTGCTTCTGCAATGAAATTAAAGACTGCTGAACACTCAAGAAATATGGAGGGTAAAGGAAATGTAGAGAGAGTGAGAAAAAAATCAATGAGTTAGGCTCAATGTGTTTTACAGTAATAAGGGAAACAGTTTGTGATTGAGGTATTAGACTCAATAGTCTCCCCTCATGTCCTGGGGCAGTCCCAGACCCTAGATCCAACTGGCCTTTTTATAGAAACAGGAAGTGCAGCACAGAGCCCAAATCCAGACAGCGTTCAGAAGGGGATTCGGGGGGATTGAAATACACAAAGGACCTGTTCAGATGCCCATCTAAACAAGCTTGTCTATGAAAACAGTCCAGTTGAGGACACTGTTACAAATGTGGAGGAATGAGACATGGACCACAGCATGGCAGACGGGGGAACTCAGTGAAAACACATTAGATAATCTCTCAACCACTGCCAAGTGCCTTTCTCGTAGACACAAACTGGGCAAACTCAGAGCTCCTGAAAATGTTACAGTCGCAGGTACATGAAACATGAAACTGGTTAGAGAAGTTGGTTAGCTGCTGGTTCTGATGAAATGAATCTTAATTACTTTAATGGTTGTCACTGTATAATGACAACATATCAGCTAATTTACAGACAGGGAGAATACTCCTCTTATCTGAGTGACAATTTGCATAACCTGCCACCTACATTTGCATTTCTGTCTTTTGCATAATGCTGTTATCCAGAACATCTCCCATGTCTGCAACTCTAAGATACAGACAATAAAAAAAAAGGTCATAGGTCAGGGCTTTAGTGGCCTTACAATGTCCCCTTAAACACAATGGTAATCATGTTATGAAGAAATAATAAAAGAAGTAAACACCTGGTTGTGAGGAAATATTGAACTATTTTTTTAATCAGATTAAAAGTAAGAATAAAGCAGGTCTGACAAAATTATCTAAGGACAGTAGGTTAATCTGACCTAAGGTTACCAGGGATATCAACAAAGCCTTTGAGGAATTCCTCCTCCTTAACACTTCCTGTTATTTGTCAATCACCCTCACACCTCTGACAGCCAGCAGGGATATGAAAAGGTTAATTATGGGATGTTTGGTCAGTGGCCTTTCAGTCTCTCCCACTATCAGTGACTGCAGGAGATACAGCTATTCTTGGAGTAAGACACACACACACACACAAACACACACACACTTACACCTGAAGCTGACAGCGCTGTGGTTTCTGCTGCTGTTGGTGACACATCAGTCAGGAGTCTTTGTCATACTAAATCTAAGACTGACACCATACTATTTCTAAAAATAAAAGCAAATTATAACACGTTTCATATGGTGTTTAATATGTACCTTTGTTTTATGTTATTTTAATTATTCAAATTGCCTTGTTTTTATTTCATTTTCAGTTCAATTTAGTGCCATCTTAATGTTTCATTTTGAATGTATTTCCATGCCTCTGTCAATCACTTTGAATTGCCTTGTGTCTGAATGCAGCTATTTAAATAAACTTGTCTTGCCTTCTGTTTTATTGTATGTAATATCACGAAGTAGTTTCTCCCGTCTGTTGATGTAGCTTGAAACTGCGAGGTAGGTTCAGCCTGTAGTTAAATAACCAAACTACAAATACATATTAACCTACAATATAATTATATCTGGCGAGGAGACGAAGACAACAAGGGTGAAGTCTGTTACTTGGACGTTTGTATGCTGCATTAGCACTGAATTGAGATTGTTATTGAAAACATAACATTTAAGACGCTGTAGACAAACCAGAAGAGCAGTTGAAAGTCAATATTATTCACAACTGTAAAAAGAATCTCCCTCTCACTGTACATTACGACAGTCAATACAGCAGACGGATGGAGCCACGGTAGCCTATAATTTCGTAAAGTGAAGCGACAAAAAAACTCACCTTTCTGAAATAATTGCTGTCTCCTCGGCTGTTTTTCATGCCGTTTGGTAAAAGTGTGTCCGTCATCCTGAAGGCTCACACTCGAGAGAGTAAAAAAACAGGTGAATTAGAGGTTAATTTAAACCAGACCGCTGCTGTTCAACAGGTGAGTATCCGCTGTCCTCCAACAATGTGTCCGATATGACTTCACTTTACTCAGCCACCGACTTTTCCAGCAGAAACCAGAAACTCCGCCCACACGGAAAAAAAAAAAAAGACTTGTGATGCATTCACAGGCAGAAACTCCCCCCGGCGCCGCCTGTGTCATTCAGGTAACGTAGTGCGGAAGTCGTTAACACCTGTCGAGTTACCTGTTAGAAAACTGTTCACCGATTAAATCTCATAATTAAGACCGATTTACAGACGCAAATCAGCAGCCGCACCATGTGGTGCACAGGCGCAGGCTGATGAAGTAAATCACTTTTATGCTAAAATAGCTTGGTTGGGCTGATTAAAGACCTACTGTTGTTGTTAAAAGCTGTATTTACATTTACATTAACAGTTGTCATCAAAACAGTAATTAATAAAGTCAATTCACAAACAGAAAAACACAAGTGAGATAGAAAATACAGTCCATATTGTAATAAAACCATACTGAGTAATAATTATCTGAAGCTTTAAAAATAATAATCACTTAAATGTCCAACACCTGTCTGACTGAAGGAAGTCACATGTTGACAACTGTGTCAAAGTAATGTATCAATGCTGAAGATTAAAACAATATCATCATCAAGAAGTCAATAAAGTAAAAATTCAGCTAAAATACTGACAAAGTACCAGCAGGAGTTTAAGGAAGTACTCATTTGACATTTTTAACACCTTTGGAGCAAATTTGTATAATGCCAATAATACAAAATTATTCAAAACAGCTGCTTCCCTGTAAAACTATAAATAGAAGTTTTCTGCACTGACACCAGAAACGGGACATACTATACTCTATTGTACACTGTGTACACGTGCTGTGAATCATACCTTGACTTCAAATTAAACAGGCTCTTGAGCTGGAGTGGACAAACTGCTGCTGCTGCTGCTGCTAATAACATTATAGTGTGTCATCATCATCAGTTATTATCACGTGAATGATTACAACTGTTACAGTATAATGCCTACATGGAAACAGTTTTATTTTCTGAGGCTGCATAAAGCATTTGACTTGCTGAAGAGCATTCATTTGAATCATATCTGTCAATATTAAAATACTTGGAGTCTTATGTGTGAGTGGTATGAAAAAATCTCCAAAGTCTGTATTGTTATGAAGCAAAAAAAATCAATTAAAATAATGTATGTATTGTAGGAAAAAAACTTATATTTTAACAGCACTCTTCAGGTGTTTTTCCTTCGCACATCTCATCACATGTGGAGAGACAGACAAATGGTCTGAGAGATACAAACAGAGACAGATCGATGTAAACACTATAAAAACTAATAAAAATGTACAGTACCTGGTCTTCAAGCTGCATTTTTATTTGGTTGCCTAGCAACTGCAGCAAGATGAGATGTGGTCAGTTGCCGGGGCTTTTTTCTGATTGTGCTGATTTCCGATTGACTTCCCTGTGAGAGGGTCTGTGGGTGAACTGAACTCTGAGCCTCAGTCACTTGTTTAAAGGTAAATCAACAGTATTTGTTGTGCTGCATTATTACCTCCATCCAAGAGTGTCTTATGTCTTCACCCATGTTGGTTTGTTTCATTGGTTTGTATGTTTGTCAGAAGGATTACATTACATGAAATGTATAGAACCTATTTGCACCAAACTCAGTGGAGGGATGGGGCATGGACCAGGGAAGAACCCAGTAAACTTTGGTGCTAATCCGGTCAAAGGGGCAGATCCAGGAATTTTTTTATCACTTTCCTTAACATTGTGAGACAGGGCATTTTTCGACCATCATTGTTTTTTAGGAAATAGTGTTTGGATCGTAATGTAAGAAATCAGACATTTTATTGTCTTGAGATCTTTAAGTTTTTATAATTTAGTGCGCATCCAGATAACAACCTGAATCTCACTGACGTGTAGGTAGGATTGTTTGGCCTTGGCAGAGGTATGCACTCAACTGAGTGCCATTCTAGTTAGTAGTGTGTTTGGCTCTTTCATTTTGCTTGTGTCTGAGGTGAAACTAAAGACGCCGTCTGGTTGCGTGTGTCTGGTTTTGCCAGTTAGAAAGCAGGTTAAACTCCTGTTTGTGGAGGAGGTGGTTTATAAATGTCAGGCGAGGATTATTGATAACAACTAAATGGAAGTGAAGCCAGAGTATGAGCGTGTGGCTGTGGCTATAAACTAGGCCAAAGCTGTATTTGTCTGGGAAATATCTGCTTCTGAAAGCCAGACAAAGGCTTTTCGAACGGAAACATTTCTAACCTCATTTAACATCTGTGTGGCTGAATGATTTCATTTCCATTTGACTCATGAATGTTAGAAGAAATTAAAAAATTGCATACAGATGTTCTGTCTTCTATGACATCTACTCTCGGGATCTTTGTTGAAAGATATTACATTTACATAATTACTGGCTAATCCCTCTGCAGGGGAAAGTTGCAGTGTTTTCAGGGCTCTCACAGAGGAGGTTACAACTGGACAAGAGAAAAAAGCTCAAGTTGTAACTGACCATTGACTCTAGTCAGGTGTTACACATTCTCACAGTACTGAGTTAGATGTCAAAATCCTGTACAAACTACTCAAACTGGTTATGTTGGTGACCAGGTTACACTAGATCAAAGACATTTGCACTCGTGGATGTTTGCCATTAATTCACTTCAGGCTGCTGACACCATTTGTTTCATTTCCTTCAGTTTTGGCCTACACTTGCTTGTGTTTTTTGGTTTAGAACAACCAAGTAAAGCAAGCATGTATTAGTCACAATGGTCACAGTTTGTCAGGAAGATATTTATTAGTCCACATGTTAATGCTTCTTGTTCATGGTCATAAGAGAGACCAGCAACACAGATTTGTTGCGTGACATATTTGAGAAATTAACATTGACATTGACATGATGGCGATTAAGTGATCAGTTGCATCACTGCCTACTTCTGTCTTCATGACAGAGGTCTGGACTTTGGTTACACAACAAAAAACATTAATGTTTACAGAGTGCAGGAGCTTCTCAATCTGTGGCTATGAGTCTATGATGCCAATCTATGTAGCTGCTAATTATGCTTTGAACTAGTCCAATTATCGATTAATGAATTGACAGAAAATTAACTGTCAGCATTTTTGATAAGTGATCAAGTTATCAAAGAGATGTGGGATGGTTGTTGTACTAAACTAAATCAACCACTAGGTGGAGGTAGAGATTAATAATTCAGCCTTAATGTGGAACATAATTTCTTGCTCTTCCCCTTTGAATCAATGGATGATCAGCTTTAATCCTTTGGTTTTATGATGGTTTTCTTCAAATAATTCAACATAAATGCAACCCACACAAATTTTTACATTTGTCTGATAGGATGACTCTCGCTGTATGGTTTTTTTCAAATGATCACAATACTTACAATCAACCTTTCACAGTTCAAAATATGATGATAATTCAATGTGTCTTTCACACACATTTGTAGTTTCAAGTAATGAATGAAATCAACACAGGTGTAACTGATAGCAACACTGATGAAAACACAGGTGTAACTGATAACAACACTGATGGCCTAGTTCCATTTACGTGTGACTATGTGAGCCATGCTATTAAACCCACATGAACAATACCAGAGCCCTGGAAGTGCCACTCCTAAATGAAATGTAGTTATTATTAATATTATTATGTGCACCTGTATTTGACAAGTCACGATTTCTGCCATGCATCTATTCTTTCTTCACCAGTAGGCCTTTTCTCATGGCAGACATTTGACTTGTCTTAGAAGGCAATAGATGCCTCTATTTGATGTTTTTGATCATTAGTAGACCAACATTTTGATAAACAGATCCCTGAGTAGTTTACCACTCATGCTCCACATGCACACATACTAGGATGATCATGTATGTGTATGCTACAGTGCAGGTTACATAATATTAAAAATCGGCTATGTGTTATGAGGCAGGATGTCGTATGTGTTATTTATGTTTACATAAAAACTCTCTAAGGGCACCTTTAAGTGTCCTAATAAGCTTTGGCACTGAGCCAGCATGTATTAGCCTATAGGGCTCAGAAACACTTCAATGGAATGCAGCCTTTATTAAATGTTTTTCGTGCTATGACATGCCTGCTGTAAAAACGATGAATAGAGGCTATTATTGATGCTGTAAATGATTATATTGGTGATAATGTAGAGATTAATTTTAAAGTGAACTCAGTAGATCTTGTACAGGGGAAAGCATTGCTGCACTAACTTCTATGGGCTGAAAGTTGTTAATCTGTTGAACTTCTGGGAGATCTCAGCAAAGTTTGGTCAGATGTTCTCTGTTGTATTTGTGACTACAATCAATTGCTGCATCGGACGTGGAAAGAGCATGGAGTCTCAACTAGTTAGCAACAGAACATTATTTGCTCTTCATCAGAAAATGAATGGGACTCCAAATATACAGCATAATGGGTAGGCATGTAAAGGCATGTATGTACTTTAAATGCTTTTCTTATAATCCCAGAGCGCTGCAGGATAGTGAAAAACTGAGATGTATTTTTCATTGACAGCACATTTTATAGGATCTTCCTATTGAAATGGGTGGTCCATATTCTTCATCAACACTGCTACATGTTCTGTGTTTTAGAGGCTTTTCACCCTGGAAAAAATAACCCCCTTCAAGAGAGGACTGAATATTTCAATTTTTTCTAAAGGTACTAAAATCTGATAACAATACCATCTATCAACAGGAACCCCTATTAGTTAAACCATATAGAAGTCCCTGCCTGTTGAAGAGTGCAGTGAACTGAGGGTGCTTTGCCTTTCCGCTCATTTCTCTTCTCCTCACAATGAAGCACAAAGCCGTTTGTAAGTGAACTGCTTCCCGGCTGCTTTTCTAAAGGCAGAGGGGGCACGGCGGTGAACAACAGGCACCGCCGTTCAACCCCCGACCCGACAGGAAGTGCTGTGGGGTTGCTATGCAGCTCTGCTCCCCAACTGCAAGAACTCTGAGTTCCCTGTTAACAAATGATGTGTGGTGAGGGCAGTATGGCAAACCATTTGAGCAGGCACTCCA